CCACAGAAAATTTTGAAAAATCAATTCTGCCATGAGTGGTCAATGAAATGAAAGCTGCTTGAAAATCTTCAAAGTTCAATGAAATGAAGCTCACAAAGTCCACACATCCAACTTTGCAAAGTCGCAAGTCTTATGTTTAAACAAGCATTGGAACAACTTCACCAGTTTATAATGTGCTTCTAGACAGAACCCAAGGTGCCAAATGGAACCAACAAATCCCTAAATAATCTGGGCTCAGGACATATACAGAATTGCTTGCTTAAATATCAATAGCCCTTCCAATTAAGATCATCTTTGCAGACCCTGCTAGATGTCCATACTCAGAAAGGCTGTGTTAGGGGGTCCTTGATACGGGCCGTTATGCTGGCACCTCCCTGATCATGGGAGCTCTTCCAAGGGTTGAGCATCCTATTGGAATCTTTTTCTACTGTGTGGCTGTTCTGTTCCAACTGACTTTACCCCATTTCACCAAACACCTTATCTCTGTTCAAATTTAATTTTAATACTGTTCTCCCATGTTACTCTGATCCAGTGCATTCATTTTTATGACGTATGTCAATATTTTTATTGTACATCTGCGGGCAAGCGGTGGGCAGGAGGCACGATATATGAAGCTAATCAATACATAAAACTACTGATGTACAAGTCCTTCTCTTTGTCCCTTAAAATATCTATGTGTAAGTATGTAGAACTGAAATCCCCTAGTCTTCTTCTCTCTTCACCCCCCTTCCCCTTCCTCTTTCCTCACATCTTTGACAAACGATGGATTTTAAGTTTCTTAGAGTCAGAAATATGTCATCTTGTACTTCATCAAGAAAGGCAACAAAGGATGCACAACTATCAGTACTTAAGCACAGAGAAAACTCTCTGCAGTGATTGTAGGGCACAAAGTGTGCATTTGGATCAGAAAGCCCGAGGAACTGAGAACAACAGGAGACAGATGTTGTGCCAATTCCAAGATTAATTCTAGACAAGTCTCATCTTAAATCATAACGCAAGCAAGGTAGAATACAGGAGCAATGACGTGCAGGTGAAGTTTCTTCCCCATAATCTTCCTATGAAAACTTGTATGCGGTGCTGTGGTGGGTGAATTACATGCTGGGAGTTATAGTACAGACATGAAAAGGAGCGAGGAGGGAGAGGAGGGGGCGCGGAGAGTAAGGCTGATTGCAGAGGAACAGGGCTTTGTTTTCATTGCACTCAGCTCAGAAAGGATGGAAAAGGGTGCCATTGAGTCCTGTCAAGATCCTTCCCTTCCCTTCCCTTCCCTTCCCTTCCCTTCCCTTCCCTTCCCTGACCAAAAGCAGCCATCATGATAAAAATCAGGGATGGGGTAAGCCATAGTGGCAGCTGATATTGTGTCTCATTTGGAGCACAGAGGTGCATGTAAGACCCCAAATTTGGAGGCTTAAATGCCTAGAGGGTGGGATATAATGGGATCGCACCCTATGTCTCTGTGCTGGGTGTTTTGGGATTCTTCCAAAACGGAAGAAAGGGTTTCAGATTCAAAGGAGGGCTTTTAATGGCAGAAGCAGAACGAGCCCTGAAGTCTTTCATGCTTGCACAGAAGCAGAGCACACAAAGAAACGGAACTATCAGGTAGGCAATAATTTAATAATCCCATTAGAAACTTCAGCAGCTGCCATTGCGGTCAGATGTCACTACACTACAGTGCCACAAAGGGACTCATTCATGAAGGGCAACAGAGAAAACAAGAACTCAGCACCAATAAACATGCCCCCTTTATTTATTTTTTTTTTTTTTTGGTTGCAAAAGACAGCACAGAAAAGACAACACCTCAAACCAAACTTCCTTACGTATTTTGGCAAATGTCTTTATTTGCCACCAACACACTTCTGGGATTTCTCTTCAAGAGATAAAGCGAGCATTAGAATTGTTTGGCAGGTAGCCTATTTGCTACAATTACAATAATTTGGACGCCTTGTCTTGTCTTGTCTTGTCTTGTCTTGTCTTGTCTTGTCTTGTCTTGTCTTGAAGGAAAGCACTGATATCATAAAACCCACATAAAATAGCACCTTTAAAATTTATATAAATAAAGTTTTCTACATCATTCAGTCTTAAGCAGCATAGCCCAAGGGTACAATCCTATGTCTCTCTGGACATAAAACTCAGAACCTCCCCTCAGCATAGTTGGTTGTAGAATCCTGGGAAGTTGTACGACCTTTTTCTTTCTTTCTTTTTTTTTTTTCCTGATCTAAGTATGCCTAGGATTGCACCCAAAGGGTTTCTCTTCTGAAATGGTGGACTCGTTTGTGTGAACTGTTGCTCCCTCAGGCCCATCCCAATGATACAGTTGCTGCATTGCTTGTTGAATGGATCGTACATTACTACATCAGGAAAAATCAGATCACTTCACAAAAGGAATACAAACATACACCAAACGAACCCTAAAATCGTGGCTGTAATCCCAGCAAGGAACAAATTTGTAAACAAAATGACAAGGCATGCTGAAAGGTATGGCTGAGAATCATGCAGTCCTATGACCAGGCAAGCCCTTAGCTCAGTGGCAGAATAATCAATTTTATTATATATTTGTACATTTATTTCTATACCATCCATAGCCAAAGCTCTCTGGAAAGATAACAGCATAATTACTTTACAAACATAAGGTCCCAGACTCACACTTTCGGTTTGTTGTTGTTGTTTTAAAATGTTTTGGGGGGTTAGTATTGGAAATGTTCTTTTCTGAGGGAGGCTGGTGGTGTCAAAGTCAATGGAGCAGTGTACCTTCTCCAGGTTATAGACTGAACTTTGAAGGAGTTGTCCATGGTGCTAAATTATGAGGCCAGGGACCAGCACCATAGTTGATGCCTTGAAGTTGATGCCTTGAAAGTTCAACCTGAGATCTTTGTGAGTGACTGCTTGGTAGAGAATTGGGATAAACAGAGTAATGGGCTGACTTGGTAGTGCTAGAGAAAGTTGCCACTTCAAATTATCACGTCCACCCACAAAGAAGGGTTGTGATATTCTCCCTTTTATAACATTTTTGAAAATTTCTCCCATGACTCCCACAGTGGTGCGTGATTGAGACATTGAAGAATTCTACCATGGACTCAACTGAACCCTGGTTTCTTCAACTCCACCCCATGAATTCCGCAGAGGACCAACAACCTCAGAACATGTGGGTTATACCGACTGATTTTTAAATACATATTCTTGCATGAATTTAGCCTCAGGAAACATATGCAAAATACAACAAAATCAATCAAAAATCCTTCCATAGAGTAAAGCATAATAAAACACTTTATGGGGCATACGTGCATTTTGGGATAGTGTATGAATAGAAATTGTGCTTGAATGCCAGACTGGCGAATCAGCAGGCAGAAGAGCGAAAATCAATTAAAAACCTGCAAATTACTTAGCTGAGTGGTTTTCTTTCTGTTTGACCAGATGCGTTCTGTGCACTACGACTTGCCCCGTGTGGTTCCTGGAATAGTTTGGAAGTGATGCAGGGTCACACCAAAAAGATTTCAGGAAGGATGTACCATGGAAAGCACTCCAGGGAGGGATGAAATGCTGTCTCATGCAGAACTGCTTACAAGTGTTTTTTTTTTAAAGGACGAAAATTCTGCACTACTTATGCCAGAAGTTAAGTTTAAGTTAAGCCAGAAGCCCCTCTGAGAATTGAGAAGGGATTTTCCCACACACACAACTTGGAAGACTGTTGCATGCCTCCTACCCAGATTGTGGAACGAGAGCTGGCAGAAAACTTTGGCACAGCTTGCAGTTTTCCACAGAGCGATTCAGTTGACCTGTCTGAACCAGTGGGAAGATGTTCCATCCACTTGATTCTTCTCAGCGCCCCTGGGAAATCAGCAGTGCGTTCTGAGTTGTGAATGGATCCCTTGCAAGAAGGTAGGAATGGAGCAGGTGCTTTGATGTGGAGGTTTCACTCGTCCTTCCAAGAGATCCATGTATTCTTCTGCTGTTTTTCCCCACAGCAGAAAATGGCAGCCATTGACAACTAAAGGGCAAGTTCTATTTGCTGGCGCACATGATCTTAAGAGTACTACTTCAAACAGACCTGCCAGAAAGCCCCAGTGGATATGGAACACGCATGTATAGAGCTACACTGCCAAAGGACTGCCATTTCGTTGATTAATGTGATAAAATGCCACCATCCACCCAGCAGCTCTGGGAAATGGGCCAAAGCAAAGAAACCGAAATTAAAGAGCTGGGTTTACCATGCTGTATCTTACTGGAAAAGCAACCGATTACAACATACCTTTTGTGTTGTTCATTTTTCTTTTGTCACTTGACAGCTGGGTGGGGATGCAGCTGAGATTCACTGATTTGAATAAGGCAAGGGGGGTTGCGTACTGGTGGAGGCCAAGCCGCACTTCTAGGCATAGTTCCCAGTTTGGGCTCCTGCTGAAGTGGGAAGGGCACAGAAGCAGCAGAGCAAGTGGCAGGAAGGGTGCTTAACACACGCCCTTTCCCTTGCCACATTTGCCCTTGCACAGATCCCTCCAGTCTTTGGTTTCCTGCTTCAGACACCCAGAGATGGCTTGCTATGATGAGAGAAGCACCTGGCTAAGGAGATGACAGGGAATAACAAGTGACCTGTGGAAGGACTTAAGAACCCCTCCATCCATGCATGGATGTTGCATGGACATCTCCCACAGCACTGTTGCATGGACATCTTATCCAGATCTCTGCTGGACGCTGATCTCAGGAACAAGGACAATCACTCAATAGCCAATATTGTTTTCTTTTCTGTTATAACCTGGATTTTGTCTATACAACGGCTCTATTGAATTGTCAGTAATTATATTTTTAAAAAATCTTCCTTTAAAATTGGCCTGATACTAGAGAAGATAAAAACGGAGCAAAAGAAACCACTTATCACTTCATGAAAGAATAACAATTAATAGTTTCTGAATTATAATAAACTTAACCGACCGGCAGCATTTGATGGTTTTAATAATCTAAAAGGCCCTTTCATATAGAAACAGAAGCAAAAGAGCGGAGATCTCTTGGCTTCCTTGATCCATTCAAGTGTTCAGAAGTAGGTCCATAAGAGGTCCTTGGGGGCTTCACCTTTAGGGACCCTTGACATTGCTTGGTCTGGCAGCCAGGCTTGCGTAGTAAGCACACTGGGAAGGGTCGCACTGCCCATTGGCTCCTGGGGGACCCTGGGGGCCCATGAGACCAGGGACCCCTGCTTCACCCTGAGGGCCTTGTGCTCCTGGTATTCCATCCTTCCCATAGCCAGGTTCACCTGGAACGCCTACGGACAAAACATGGCAGGTGAGCATCAAAGCCATTGTGCCACCAGCCTGTCGAGGGAGCAAAGGGCTATCTGTGGAGCAGGCAACCTGGCATCTTCCAAATGTGTCAGAATATGGACTTCCTCACTCCTAAGCCATTTGCCATGCTGGCTGGGGCTGATGAGAGTTGCAGTCCAAAAGAGCTGGACTTCAGCTCAGAGCCTTCCCCTCAGCATCAGCCGGATCAGCTTGCTGATCTTGGTGCAACGTGGTCTAATTGAGGATAAGACAGCTTTATTCTTTCATGTATAAAACCACGAACAAGCCATTGTTGAAAAGCGTATGGGAGCAAAATGTAACACCCTGAGAGAGCCGGCTAAAACATGAGAGAAAGCAGCTAAACATGGCCACATCTTCCCCACTCTTCTAACATCCAACAGCTGCAGGTTTGCTTACCGTGCAATCCCATCCTTGTCTCCTCAGAAGTAACCTCCATGGAGTTCAATGGCGCTTACTCCCAGGCAGTGAGATGTAATGAGAAAGCAGCAAGCAGGACGACCCTGCTTTTCATGGCTACCGGTCTCATTTCATTCATTGTCATTCCCCCCCACCCAAAAAAGTCTCAGTTTGATGTGCTCTAGATGCTTTGGGCTACGACTTCCAATGTACCTGACCATTGCCCATGCCGCTTGGGGCTGATCAGACCTGAACCCCAAGATATCCAGAAGGCACCAATTTGGAGGCTGTGGGGATAAAGCAGAAGATGGCCAGAATGCTTTCCTACTCTTAAAATCTGATTGATCCTAGAGCCACCGGTAGTCTAGACTGCATTTCTGGACAGCTAACAGTGGGGGAGTGAATGGCACGTGGGCTGCCCAAATGTTACCTGTCAAGAGTCTGCTATCTTTAGACCCTGTGGATGCTGCTACCCTTAGGAAGTGAAGAAGACGGTCATCTCAGCCTGAATAATTCTCTGCAAGTGATCCAGCACAATCTCGCCTCCTTTTGTTATCCCATGAAGTTGATAATGGCTCAGGATGCAAAACTTGGCATGCGTGTGTGTGTGCGCGCACGCACATACACGTGCATTTTACATGTTGCTTAACAGAGAATTGTTCTCCCAAGACCAACCCTCCATTCATGATCTCAGGCCACATGCTAAGAATAAAATTCCACCCACCTGGTACTCCTGGGGGACCCTTTTCACCCCGCTGACCAATGCCAGGATCTCCTTTTTCTCCCTTGTCCCCTCTTTCACCTGGTGGGAGAAAAAAAACACATTTTTTTTAAAAATAGAGTTTTAAAATCCTGATACAGAATTGTCCCAACGAAATGCTGAGGGCTGACAATTTGCTCTTGGCAAGCATTACCAATTATATTGGTATTTTTGTATTTTTAACTTAATGTTTATATTTTTTAATTTAATGTTATAATTATTTTTTAACTTATTGTTGTAAGCCACCCTGAGGCTTCGGCGAATGGGGTGGCATAAAAATGTTTTAATAAATAATAAATAAATTACAGAAGCTGAGGGCGACCACCAAGAAAGCTCTAGTCCTTGCGGTTTCACACATTGCCTCATGTAGCCATGGAGATCTGAAGCAGCACACTGGATGATGAATGGACCATGTGAGAAGGAACATATTCATTTACTTATTGATTAGATTTACATCCCGCCTGTTTCTTTTTTGAAGAACTCGGAATGGCCTACATCATGGGCCTCCTCTTGCTCTCAGTCTTATCCTCACAACAGGAACCCTGTGAGATAAGTTCGGCTGGGAATCTGTGACTCAAGTCACCCAGCTGGCTCCATGGCCCAGCAGGGACCAGAACTTGGAACCTCTGGGTCCCAGTCCCATGCTCTTAACTACCAGTACTCTACACTTACACACGCATGGAAGATGGAGGTCCTCGAGGAGGAGGGAGGGCTTTTCAACTAGGAAACAACCTCCCCACTCTGGCTTACTTGGCACAAACTAGATAATCTTTTCAGCACCAGGTAAAGATTGCCCATGATGCCGAGGTTTTTAAAGATATCCTTGGTTATCCAGGGGCTTGAGGGGGTTACCCACCACAGGTCTTTTTCTTCCACAGGGTCATTCTTCATTGTATGTTTTCAGTTGTTTTAATTTTTTTCAGGGTCTCTTCTGCTAAGCTTCTATCATATTTTATTGTATTGTTTTATGTACTGCTGTAAAGTGCCCAGAAAGCTTCAGTTATTGGACTGTAGTGAACAGAAATAACTGATACTAATACTTGAGGTGCCCTTGTCCCAAGCCACTTCAGGGCTTTAAAGGCTCAACCCAGCACTATGTACTGAGTCCAGGAATAAATTAGCAGCCAGCGGATGCAACTAAATTTGGTGTATTGTGGTCAAAGTGCCTGATTCCACAAGCAAAGCAGCCACCACTCTTGGGGATGATGAGGAACAGAATTCTTACCGATGCATCCCTGAGACATTTGTCATTCGTTGGACACGCATGCCAACATTTATGAACAGGGAGATCTAAAGCATCCGGCTTCAACGTCAGTCTTTGTGATACTCTATAGAGCAATACTTAGCCTAGAATGAATGTGGTAAGAAATGTTGGAATGGGGCTTTAGTTGCAGAATGAATATTCCACGGGAGAAGGAGAAAGGCGAGATCTTGTTTAGTTGCTAAAGTCTGAAAACTCACAACCTTAGAAGGCAATTGTGTCATCAGTTCATGCACCGCAGACTTTCCATAGTGCAGGAAATATCTGAGGGGGGAGGAATAATTTAGGGCTCAGAGCAATTACTACTGGCCAAGCACAAGGTTCACTCACCTTTCGGTCCCACCGGTCCCAATGGGCCTTCAGAGCCAGGCTGACCAGGCCTGCCAGGCTCTCCCGGAGGGCCACCTCTTCCTGGGGGCCCTTCCTTACCAGGTAATCCAGGAGGCCCTGGTCGACCTTGGGGTGCTTTGACGTGAGCTGGCTGCATCTGACTCATGAGGTAGGGCAATCTGGCTGCAGGGGAGAAGAAACAGCAAGATTCCCAAGGGAGAACTCAAGCAAGAAGGGGAAACTCTGCCTCTGGTTGCTGACCCCAACAAAGACCAAACATTCTAGGAGTCTGCAAGCAATTCAAAGGAGACTTAAGCCTTGCAAATGAACCTGAGCAGGGTTGGTTCATCCGTCCCTGAAATTGGGGCTGTGGACTCAGCCACACAAAGAACTGCATATAAATAAGTTCAACAAATGAATGATACCCACCCACCTATCTGGAAGTCCATGAACTCCCTCTCCCATCTGGACTGGGGAACTGGGAATCCAGAAATGTAGGGACAGTGCAGCCTCCGTGGGTTCAGAACTCACCATCAAGCTGCTTTCCCAACTCTTCTTGGATAAGTCTGCGCAGAGTTTCCAGTGATGGTGGCTCCCCCTAGGGGAGAAAAGGAGAATATGTCAATGCTCAGTTAAGTCCTTCTTCATTGCCTATGAATAAGAGGAGGTGGGTCATGGTCAGCACACTGAATGACCAAGGTCTGTGCTCTTTTCCTACAGCAATCCAGAGATAATTCAAGGCCCCTTGCCTTGCCTTGCCTTGCCTTGCCTTGCCTTGCCTTGCCTTGCCAACCTGCAAGTTCCTAGTGGGCTTGGACTTAAGATTCTATCAATACTACCGTCTCTCTTATATAACAACAGCTGCCATCTACTGCCACTGCTGAGAAGCGGGAATGCATCACATGACTGCTGTCCATTGATAGCCCCTCTCTTTGGATGTCTTTTAATAGATCAGATGACATGGGGGAGGAGTGATCTGCTTGTATTCGCCGTGCAAAGTTTATGTTCAGTGGCAAAATCCCTTTCATTGCTACCAGGTTCTGGGGATAAAGAACAGGAGCCATTGCCTGGCAACTCCTGCTTCAAAGCTTTTAGCAGCATCTAGCTGGGAACGGCTGGAAACAAAATGCTGAAAGTGGGCCTGATCCAGCCACACATTCTTCTGAATAATGAGACTAGCATTATCTGTGCCATGTGTCTTAGTCATTATAGCCTGGGTCATGGGCAGCTTGTACTTTCAAGAGCTAGGGAAGTCTGGAGGGGAGGCCAATGGAATTTCTTTGTAAGTTACATCAAGCCCAAGTAGCAACGGTGAGTTATTCTTCATCTGAGCAATCATCTCTTAATTTCGGCTCAAGAAACAACACCTACACCTGTAGAGTCAGACAGATGGGGCATTGCTGTTCTTTTGCTCTCACTGAGACCTCCAGTGCTTAAAATAGGCCCTCTACTATTCAAATGTGAGGCTGGGCAGTGTGAGGCAAACGATCTCTCTGTGTTATGCCTACCGCATTTTCAATTTGCAGAAATCGTCAGGAGCCTTTCAGGGTAATAGATATCATTATTTTCCAATTAGCTGAAATAACAGGAATTGAGGGTCTCCTGAAATGTTTTGTGACGGAAGGAAGGAAGGAAGGAAGGAAGGAAGGAAGGAAGGAAGGGAGCAACTTGATATTTTTCCCATATATGCTCATATCAGATTGACTCTATACATCCCATGCATGCTCATATAAGCTATGGTTTTCCCAGTTGCAATGTATGGCTGTGAAAGTTGGACCATAAGGAAGGCTGAGCACCGAAGAATTGAGACCTTTGAATTGTGGTGCTGGAGGAGACTCCTGCGAGTCCCTTGGACTGCAAGGCGATCAAACCAGTCAGTCCTAGAGGAGATCAACCCTGACTGCTCTTTAGATGGCCAGATCCTGAAGATGAAACTCAAATGCTTTGGCCACCTAATGAGAAGGAAGAACTCCCTGGAGAAGACCCTGATGCTGGGAACGATTGACAGCGAAAGAAGGAGGGGACAGCCGAGGATGAGGAGGCTAGATGGACTCAATGGGGCAGTGGGTGTGAGTCTGGGGCAGTGGGGGTGGACTCCAAGGGATAGTGGAGGACAGGAGAACCTGGAGGAATGCTGTCCATGGGGTCATGATGGGTTGGGCATGACTTTGCAACTACTCTCGTAAACAACAAAAATGTTCATATAAGATTATTTTTTTCTGGATTTGGGTCCTGAGGCCAGTAATTGTGAAAGTCTCCTCCACCAGTGTCAACAGAAGGCCTCTGTAGGCTACAAAGCTATGCACTGCTTAGTGAGATCTTCACTAAGGAAGTTAAGGCTAAGATTGGAAGCTGAACAGATCTGTACCCACTAGGGATGTGTGAGAAATCCATCCTGTGCAGGAAATCCACCAGATTCACTGGTTTCATCTTCCCAGGCTCCAGGCAGAGCTGGGTCCCCGGCGAGTGTGCACAGGGTTTCTGGGGCACTAACCAAGACTCGAACCCACGTGCTATGCAAGCAGCGCCCTTCTTCCAGCAGCAGCAAGTGGAGAAGAAGTTTGGCCACTGGGGATGGTGACCTGTGAAGGCTGCCAGTGATACAGCCAGGGCCCCACAAGCATTCATGGGCTTCGTCTTGGCTCAGCTCACTTTGCAGGGCTTGGCCAAGCACAAGAGGGAGTCTGCAGATTTTGAAGGGCTGGATTGTGAAAGGGTTTGTCCCAATTCTATTTGCATGCACTCGAGGGAGAGAAAAAGAACATTGTTTCAGGTCGCCCTTTAGGTGAATAGTACAAATAGATGCATTCAAATTATTTAAAACAAGTGAATTTTTAAACAGCCTAACCTTTAGTATTCATGCCCGGTTATATTGCCCCATTTCACTCTTTTATTGTGTCACTGGTGCTATTCTGAGAAAGCCTCCTTCATGCTTTGTATATTGATATTTTGAGTGTTTGACAGATGAGTGCCATGAAATGTTCCATAGCTACTGTACAATAGCTCTCAGTTTCTGGTTATATTCCATAGCTGATATTCAGTAGTAGCAACAGCCTCATATGCACTTGCTCTATGCACTTTTTTAACCATCATCCAGTTTCATGAGGCTTACCCTCGGCCCAGGAAAGCCAGGCTGTCCTGGTGGACCAGGAGGCCCGGTCTGCCCTGTGTCTCCTGATGGTCCCGGTGGACCCATTAATCCAGTGTGTCCTTTGTGTCCAGGAATTCCAGGTTCTCCAGGTGGGCCCTTCTCTCCTGCTGGGCCCTTTTCTCCTTTCATGCCAGGATCTCCCTTTTGGATAAAAGAACCATAACTTCAGGCTCTCATGAAAAGTGACAGCTATTAAGGAAAGACACCATGGAAGACATTCTGGATGGTCCTTTGGAAACAGAGTTGCAATATTGCTCAACTGGATTAAAAGTAGGCAATTTAAAGTGTCTACACCAGAAGAAGCTGCTGGCAGGAGGAAAGATGACCTTCTTGCTACAAAGGTCCTTTGAAGGTAGTTTGCCTCCTCTTGATTTTTAAAAAATTTGTACAAGCAATTCATGCCCAACGATTTGACATAAACAGACAGAACCACTATCTCAAACTCATTTGACATACAGGAATCTGAGAGGTTTCCAAGAAGGAATGTATGAGCCTTTCATTTCTTTGTGACCAGAATTTACCCAATTCACATCTCCCCAACCCAAATGCAGACACAGGTACAACCTGCAGTTGAAGTCTCTTCATTTCTGAGCTCGTGATGTGATTTGCAGAGGGAAACAGGTGAATTTGACAAAATGTATATACTTAAAAGGTGGACATTTCCAATCATAGTTCCAAAATATGCACACACACTTATTTTAATCAATGGGGAAAATGTGCATGTTTGGGTTAATGTCCACAACGTGTGGTGCAAAGAGCAGAAAAAACAAAGCCTGAAATCTGATCTGGACATGGCTGAAGATAAGCTTCAAAATGCGACTTCAAGATTGAATTTTGATGACATGAACGTCACTACTTGCCAGCCAGCACTCATTGTCAATCGCAGGCAGGGCCACTGAGTGTTGGTGTCCACATTCAGAAGACCTCAGAAATACGCCATGGCATTTCCTGACATTTTGGGAGATGGGGCAGCTGATTTTTGAGACAGTCCAATGTGAATGATGGGGAAGGCAGTTGCCCATCTCTTGGTATTGTAGACCTTTGAACATAGTAAGAAAAGTACCGCTGGCAACATTACCCAGCCCATCACTGACCCTTGACATCTTGCTTGAAACCCGTTGACGTCAAGGTGGTTACAATGATGTTAATTAAGTTGTCCAACTTACTGGATCACCTTTGACTCCGAGTTCACCTGGTTTCCCTGGAGCACCCTGCAGAGGATAAAAGGGTCTGAGATAGGAAGAACTGTACAGTGAACTCAGAGACTGAAGGCGGCTTCTTGTGATCTGCCCACCTTACATAAAATGCCGCACAGAATGCAGAATTGTGGGAAATCTTCTAGCGTCCCTTGGAATTCTTTGGATTTTGAAAGCATGGGGCAACATTGGGAAGGGTATGGCTATATTAATAAATTATGCTAATTATATAGGAGCAGATAATAACAGTTTACATTTAATTTTTTGAAGCAACAACAAATTGCTTTAGAGGAAGATCTACTCTTGCTTCTCTATACACCTTTAATTAATCAGTGCCTGTATCCAATGAAGATATCACATACCTCTTTCCCTAGGGGGCCCTTTTCACCTTGTTCTCCCTGCAAAAGAGTAAGTATGGTGTTTCAGACAGATTCAGAAGCTGCTTGCTTTGTTCTAAATCTGAAACTCAGTTTAGAAATCCACATCACTGGCGATCAACTAGAAATCAGCAAATGGTTCTGTGGATGGGCACACCCTGTGCAAGCAAGCAGCCAGGTCTTACAGATTCCCGGAAATCATCCATGCTTCTGGAGTACACTTCAATGGAGCCCTCTATCAATCTCCTGGATCTGTTTAGATCATCCCAAGTCCCAAATCAAAGTTCTGGATTCAAGGCCTGAGCAAATCCAAAGCATGCCCTGACCATCTACAATGTTATCGCCATTAAATGGCTACTTACAGGAGGACCTCGTGGCCCAATGAATCCGGGAAGTCCTTGGCTGCCAGTTTCACCTTTGCTTCCTTTTGGACCCTAGAAATACAAAAAAGGAAAAGAAGAAAAAATGAACTGTGCTGTATAATCTGGTAAATATTAAGAAAGCCCACTTCAGTAAGAACATGCAACTGTTCTTAATGGTATGAACAGGCAAGGAGTTCTTTCCACCACTAGTTCGGTCTGGCACTTGCCTGCCATCAATAAGATTGGATAATAGACGGAGCTGATGATGGCATCCCTGACACACTAGCATATAAGGCTGTTTAGCATATGAGGAATCCATATATTCCCTATATTGAAGATACTGATTATGGTTTTCTGAAAGCGATTTCAGAGAACTGTGGGAACTTCATTACATCCTGCCTCCAAGAGTGCCCCTTTTTCCCAGCTTGGTTAAAACCCAATTTCCTTTCCTGCCAGACTTCCTCATCCCATTCCATTTGAAAGGGCCCTGCATGTCCTTGAGACATGCATGCACAGGTGTAGGAGCTACTTCTTCCTGAGATGATCTCTTGCGGCTTCAGGCTATATCTGAATGGCTCAGTGATATAGAGGTGGCAGTCACACAGGACTTTCCCACAGACACAGTGATCTGCTGAAGGCAGTCTGGGCTTGTGTAGCTGGTCGATCTAGGCAAAACTTGTTTAGAGGTTCCTAATTCAAATTCCAGAAATGCTCAGTGCCAAGAGCAGTGAGGCTGGCTGCCCTTTTGGAACAGTTTAGGACTTGTTCAGTGGTAGAAAATGTTCAGTGGTAGAAAAGATCTCAGCTTCCATTCTTGGCATCTCCAGTGAGGGACAAGAAAGATATTCAAGACAGCAGCTATTAGCCAGTGTTGGTCCTGGGTGGACTACTTTTGGCTTACAACTCCCATCATCCTTCACTATTGGTTACATTGGCTAGGGGTCTGTATGGTCACAGGTTTCTCATCCCTGGTGCTCTGACTCAGTATATGGCAACTTTGTAAGGTGTTAATTTGTTAGACTCTCCCACTAAGGTATCTCCGACACATTTTCAGGTGCATCAAAGAGGTACTGAAGAGGAGTTGATAAAAGAGTGAAATTCCAGTCCTCTTTTTGTTACAACTTTCTCCACCACCCCCATCAACTGGCAATGTTCAAGGCCAAAGTCACAGAAAATGAAAAAAGATACATTGCATATTTCATTAAATGCCAGTGATAGGCAGGCTTAGGTAGTTCTCTGCTAATCCTCAGAAGTTATCTTGAAATGAGGAAATGAGCCAGGCTCCCTCATGGGCATTCTTATGGTTCTCTTTTTTTGGAGTCTTGTCAAGGACAGCTAGATTGTAATAGGAGCACATCAGACTGGATCACCTTGACTTGACCAGGCATTTTCCAGCAGCCTCCATCTGTGCTAATACTTGCCCTCTTACTTCCTGCGATGGATGCCTGCCAAATTCATTCTGGGCGCTTTTCCATCTTGCTTGAAACTCTAATCCAGTTTTATATACCTCCTTCAGGAGGTCTTCAGCCTGGACAGAATTAAATATATCTCAAGGATGACAGCCATCACTCGTGCCTCTCCGCAAAGCATGTCCTGCAACTCTTAATGCCTGCTCTTGCTAATTCGATATCTATGTGCATGTACTGTATGTGATAGACAGGTAACAAATACAGTACTTACTGGGTTACCTGGAGAACCTGCTTCCCCTGGGGGACCTGGTGATCCACTTTTGCCCTGAAGGAGGGAAGAAAACAGCCAAAATGTTCAATATAAGGAACTAGCTCAGTGGGACTGGATTCTGTGTGGGGCACAGAAGCAATTAGGGTCCCTTGAGGAAAGGAATGTCTGCACATGTGGAAACAAATATTTTCAGGGCTAAGCACCCCATTTCCCCTCCTCTTCAGGAATGCAAACTAAGGACTTGATGTCTAAGTCCATTCCACAATAGGGGCCTCTGGTCAAAGCAGTGAATCTATAATCCCTCTTCCTCCATTCACAGGGAATCAATGGCCCTTAAGCTGTTCTTCCAGCATGTGTGCAATGACTCCAGTTCAGAGGTTTATGAGCAAACCCACGTGGACAGTGTCTTGTTTTCTCCAAGGCATCTTCCCCTCCCATCCAGCAATTTGCTATATCTCCTTTTTCAGACCCTCCTGAGCTCCCTGTACCATCCGGATACTACAGCTGGAATCCAGTGGGATGTGTCAGGCCTCATACCCATGATTCATTATGGGAGACAACTCACCATCAGTCCTCGGAGACCACGTGGACCCTGAGGCCCCACAGGGCCTGGATCCCCCTGGAACACAAGAGGAATAGTTGTTCTTCAGAACATAGAGAAGAAACAAATTAAATTATCAGTGAGATGCCCGAGTATCTTCTGGCTGAGGACTATTTGATCCCTGCCCCCAAAATAATTGGAACATCAGCAATTCAATCAATCTTTTGGAGGAAGAGTCTAGTTTTGAAAGTAACAGCTGCCTCCCCTGGCTCTGTCCTGCTCTTGTTCCATCTTTTGTTCTAAAGGTTGAATAGGTAGAACTAAAGGGGAAAAGAAAAAAGTTTGGGATTTATCTGACCTGGGGCAGAATTAATGCTCAGTTTCTATGGCCATCAGACAGTGAAGGCAGCAATGTGCTGTATTTTGTACCAGATAGGGAAATTCGACTGTGTACCCAATAGTTTCTTGGTCACCACTCACTTCCAAATGCTCGCTAAATTTCAGATTTTGAAATTTATTTATTATTTATTCATTTATTTATGTAAAGCTTTATATACCCTCCTTTACTAGAAGTCCCAGGACAGTAGTACAATAAAATAAAAGTAGAGCATCAGATAGAAGTGTAGCAGAATTTAAGAGGCTAGAGATTCTTAGTGGCCTGAATTGAGGCAGCCTTTCAGATTAGCTCTAATTCTAACACCACTCACTTGTATCGTGCCCCGAGCACCACACTTACGTCTTTCCCGGGCTGCCCCTCTCGGCCTGGACTTCCTGCCTGACCTGGCTCTCCCTGTAACAGAAGTGGGGCAGAGGAAGGAAAACAGAACAATGTGAGACCTCACCGGTAAATATTCCTAGTGTTTGGCATTCCACCAAGGAATTTCCCAGGCCTGAATTGGAATTCTGTTTTTGGAAAAAAATGCACACACTGCAGCTCATTTTTATGGAAGTCCTTCCACTTGTGTCAAATCAAAAAGCAGAATTCACAGAATGGAATCCATGACGCTGAGTCGAGAACATCGGTTTGATCGTCACCTTCCCAACTGGATTCCTCTCACATCCCTAGACATGGTGGCTCCACTGGGAAACATGGACCTCGGGATTTCCCTCATGATGAGGGACCTTAATGTTCCTCATCTATAAAAATAAGGATAGCTATAAGAAAAGTTATCTAAACTAATGGGTGGTAAATCCCTAGGAATGTGCAAAATCTTTTCTATTTGTTCATAGATACCACTGTGTTGTTGAAAAGCAAAATTGTACCTGCAAGAGATTTATTTGAAAAATCAACATATTCAGCAAGAGATCAGGTTGCAGTGCTTAACGCACCAGTATATTCAATAAATGTAATTAGCAAGAAGACAGGTACATTTTCTTTCATTCTTTTTCAACCTCATAGACAAATTCTTTTTCATGCTCATTCTCATAAACCCTAATGGTTTGGATGTCTTTTTTTTAACACCTATTATAGTTTTGTGAAGTTCTTCATGTGTGATTTTTGAAATATATATTTTGCTCTCCCAAATCCAAAACAGTTGCTGTGTCTCTGTGGATGGATGCATCATTTTTGCTAATGGGTGGGGTAAACATCTAATGAATAAATAAATAGATTTTCATACAGAAGGAATGCTCATTCTGGCCATATTGTTGATACTTAAATTCCTGTTTTGATATCATTATGATTGAAATGCATACTTCAGTATAAGACTGACATTTCTGTTTGATAGTTCATTATTATCATTGTTACTATGTGCCATTTATTTGACTTCAAAGAAGTTTGTTAAGATCTCAGAAATGAAGATGAATTATATGCATTCTAGTTTTGGCAAGCAATATATTTTCCACATGGCTGACTTACAGTGAGCCAGAATAAAGTCAGAGAGAGACAGGTGGTTCCCTTTGGGACTCATCCTGTAATTCTTGTGGGTTCTTGAGATGATCACAAACCTTCATGGGCAACCAACAGCTATGGAGGAATATTTTCCCAGGCATGATGAGGGAAAGATAATCACTAAATTGCTGTAATTTTCTGCTTCAAAAACCTAGTAGCCCATTTCTCCAAGATGACACAGATGGCAAGTTGGAATCCAAGGGTGGGATAGATTAGCATCTATTAGATAGAGACCATTCTTGAGTCCAGACCTCTTGAATATGACTTACTCTTGGCCCCGGTGCTCCAGCATCTCCTCTAGGTCCCTTAAAACCCTGAGTGGTGAAACAGAAATCAGTTAGTACTTTCAGACGCACAGAATGCTAAAAGGCGCTCTTAAACTCTGCCCAGATGTAGGTTCAATTCTCACCACCCATTGCTTTCTTCTGGTATTGTCAGACTGGTCTCCCGACCTTTCCCTCCACTAGCTTTCCCTTTTGTTCCTTAGTCTTTCTACTTTGTAAGCCTGAGAACAAGCTTGGTTTCTCTTTCTTCTTTAATTGATGTGAACCACTGGAGGACTACGTTGGACTGGAATGTGGGATTAAAAATAAATAACCTCTTTCTAACTCTCTCTCACAAACACCTGATCTGGGAAGGATAACACTTTGAATGGAACAAGCTTTCAGCAGGACCTACCGGCAAACCCCTCGCTCCTTCTTGTCCTGGTAGCCCCGGTTCTCCTGTCTTGCCCTGAACGAAACAGAGTGTGTTCTCAGTACAACAGTAAGTAGTCATTTCCCAGAGATGGCTCACACAGGGCCAAACTATATGTGATTATACAAACAAACTTTATTAATTAGTATTGCCTCTGTCCCAGTAGCATTTGCATGAACAGCTTTTTTTAAAAATGGAAGAGATCGGATACTTATTCAGCACCTGCTTGGGAAACTTTAACTCCTCCACTCGGGTCTTGCTTGGGTTCAACTCCTTCATCTATTATTTTCATTAGAAGGTTAAGTTATCGTCATGCCAAATGGAGCTTTCTTCCAATGAAAACAGCAAATGTGCTGCGGGGGAGGGTTAATTCAACCTCTACTTCCAATTTCCAATTTGGATTGCACCCAAATCCACATCCACAGGACTTGCTTTTAAACAGGCATTTGCATAATTGCATAAAAGCAGTTCATTCCTGTTTAGCTTTCTGCTCCCGAATTTTGGTTGACTCTTTCCCTTTACAATCCTACACTGTACCAGCTGCACAGGGTGGCAATCAGAAAAGTGACAGAAATGTGGGCTAGAAGGTAATCCTTTAGCTTGTTGTCCCTAGGTAAGGGTGGCTGCAGTACATTTTAGAAAGAGTCATGAATTTCAGGTGTCTGTATGCCAGACTAGAAAGCTATATAAATTGTAGCCCTAACTCTTTACATAGTGTGTCTTCATTAATAAAATACGTACAGTAGACAAACTCTGATGACTTGCAATATTTAGTTCATGAAATTTTGTATTGTAAGCAACATCTACAAGTTCAGCATTTTAGCATGTTGTGCTTGTGTGAACTCAAAATATTTGGTGTCCCAAACAAGTAGGTCTGGTATACATACAGCATACCTGCATAACTTGGAAGGTAGCTAGAGGATTTAACATCCCATCCCATCCCATCCCATCCCATCCCATCCACAAGACTGTAGGGATATATAAGAACGTTGTGTTTGCTCACAAAACATGCAAGCACACCTGATTCAAACTCTTGATCCAAGCACATATTCACTGAAAATGTTCAAGAATTGTCGTGTTCATCACGTTCCCAAATCGTGGCATGATATGCACAAATGCCCTGATTTGTGTAAATTTCCATAGTAGACAAATCAGCCCTGTTTTAGTCTACACAGGAAATATATATGAAGTTTGGGAGATTTATGCCAATCTCTCATTTGAAGACTGTTTTATTTGTGCAAACCTTCCCTTTGTGCAAAGTAAGAAGAAATTGCAAACGTGAGCAGGAATCAAGCATAAGAGGAACAGCAAGACGATGCTCAGAGAATTGTAACAATCTCAAATCTTCCTTGTTTGTCCATCCTTAATATGCATTTCATCCTCATGACATCCCTTTCTAAATTTCTGCAGTAGAATAATCCCCTAAAGTGAGTTAAGAGTGCTCCATACAAGTGATGCTATACCTTATGGTCAAGCTGAAATTGTTATCTTCCTAATATTTCCAGTTTCCTTTTTTTTTTTTTTAAAGAATGACATAGGCATTTGACTAAATTCAGTTCAAAAAATGTAGGATTTCCTGCTTTCAACATAGCACAAGTGTTCATCATTCTGATGTTCCACTCTGGGCTAAGACCTGGACTACCAACAGTCTTTTCTGTCTACAGATGCCTTTTTGGAGACAAAATTATCCGTCTCTCCTCGAGAAAAATGCTCTGCATGACAACAGTTGCACCGACAGGCTCTTCCCCCACCCAGCCTTACAGAGAAAAGAAAAAGTGCCATGACATCACAGCATCTCAACCAATAGAAGCTTTGCAACTCAGAGGGAATGTCATACAGACAGCAACATGTTAGGTGGTTGTATATACACAGTATATCTCCTTACTGGTTCCCCAGGAACTCCTGGCTTGCCATCTTTACCATCTATTCCAGCAGTGCCCTAGGATTGGGAGAAAAAAGAAAGAGGAAGCTAGGTGGTCAAGGTTAGAGAGACAATGACTATCCACCATATTTGTTTTTAGAAAGTAGTAATGGATAAGCAACCCAAAGGGGTTTAATGAGTTACCATCAGCTTGGGGGAAAAGAGTTTTGCTCTGCCCATTGCACAGGACATCTGGCAACAGGGTGGGATGAGAAAGAACACACAATACCCCAAGCACAATCGCAAGCTTCTTAATGAACTGAGCAGAAAGCCCAAACAATATCAAGGTTGCATGTGAAATATTTATTTATTTATTTGCTTTTTCCTTTCAGAGCGATCCAGGCAGCTGATCTCATTCTCCTCTTCTTCTCAAGCTGATCCCCACAACAACAGCCCTGTGAGGTAGGTTGGGCTGAGAGTCCGTGACTGGCCCAAGGCCACCCAATGAGCTCCATGACCGAGTGGGGACTTGAACTCCCATCTCCTTATTCCCAGCTCAGCACTCTTATACCAGGTATGATTGCAGTTATGTTTCTATTCTGCCATCACACCTATGTTTCTATATTATTTCCATCTCCAGCTCCATTTTTATTTATTTGCTTTTTGATTTTTGCAAGGAAAATATTCACCAAGACTTAGGTGAATGGAGTGGCATATAAGTCCGCTAAATAAATAAATAAAATATCCCTGGTAGGTGAGGTGGTCCTCCTGCTCTCAATTTTATCCTCACAACAGTCCTGGGCAAAAGGTGATATAGCAAATCAGTGGCAGAGCAAAATTCGCCCATGTGAACATCAAGGCTTAGTGCAGACTTGAACCCAGATCCTCCAAGTCCCAGGCAAACTCGCTAAGCACTACACCACACTCTTTCTTCAGCCTTTTTCAGGTCAGCCAGTACAGGGCATCATAGGAGCAACCACCAAGAATTTCTGTGACTGAGGTCAGCCTGGTTGTTCGTTCCTATGGAATGCAGGGGAAATACCATGGGAGGTCACAGGGCTGTGTGGCTGTTGGCTGGGACCTATATTAGCCTGCCCTTTGGGCCCTCATTTCATCACCTTCCAGTTGGCCAAATACCTGCCTGTTGCTCTGCCTACGAATGGACGAGGGGAAAGGGGTTGTTGTCGAGAAGCAATGCCCCGATGGCTTTCCTTGTTGGTGTGGCTTGGATTTGGCACTTGTGTGGGGATCACCCTTGTAATTTGTCTAATATGCCCATTGTCTTCAGAAAGTCTGATTGAGGAAGGGCCTCGTGGCAGCAAGAAACACAAAGACCTTGACTTTGGCTTGCTAGTTCATCTGCCTTTACTAAGGTGCTTATATGTTCCTGAATTCTGCAGATTCTGCAAGACATCTGAGTCACAATGATTCCAGGGGCCTGAGGATCAAGGAGGGGAAATCAAGACTTAGAAGTTCTTTAGAGACAAGCGATGCACCTCAGGATAGAAATGTTCCTACACCTCTAGCCTAGCTTAAATCTTTCAATAAAAGCCCAAGACATTGTGTGGCAGAATTGCTCCGGGGATGACGTTCAAGATTGCCAAAGTTATCCTGGTTGTATCTACTATCGATGCTTACAAATACATGAACCATAACTTGCACTCACCATAAGTCCAGGCAAACCTGGTGGGCCTTGAGGTCCTGGTGGGCCTTCTTTGCCCTGCCAAAGAGACAGAGAGGTGAGCAATGGCCATCAAGAATTTCCAAGCAGAAATATCCCCAAAACATTGGAAGGGCTTTCCAGATTTGCCACAAATGTCACTTTAGAAGGAAAAAACAATCTGCAGGTGAATTGAGGACCTGTGACTATCTGTCAGTAGAGCCAGAGTAGGGCGCCTCTGGTTCCAGGGCAAAATCTGGCCATCCTGGGGGCCAAATCCAGCCCCCCACTCCCAGACTTCCCCAAAAGGCCACTGGCTCACCTTTTTCCCCTGGCTATTGACTAGTGGGAAGCTTTCATGCAGACCACCCAACGCCATTCTAAAAGGCTGAAATGGTGCTCATAAGTCTTGGCCATCAGCAATAACAGCTTTAAGCTATGATATGCATTTGTAGTTTTTGTGTTTTGATCTACCCCCTTTGTCTTTAGTCCTGCCCTGCCTTTAGTCCTGCACTGAAATATGGCTCTTGAGAGCTTCTCAAAAATTGAATTTGGACCTTGAGTTTTAACAGGTTCCCTGTCCCTCTAATACAGTAAGAAGCACAGTGAGATCTGTCTTTGAAGCACATCAGGATTCATTTTTGACATAGGTGAAAAATGTGCTTCAGTGTGTTATCTTTCTTTTTAATTGATTTAACAAATTCACCCTGCTTGGAACAAGAATCATGCTTAGAGCTGAAGCCTGTGCATTTCCAGGTTTATGATGCATGTGCTTTTGCATTTTCTACAAATTAACAGACTGAGTAGTGACTTACAATTTCTCCCGGGCTTCCGGGTGGTCCCATGGGTCCTGGGGAACCCTCTGGCCCCTAAACAACATGGGGAAAATGTTCAGCAATCTTGTGGTCAAATTCCCTCCATTACTAATTACAATTCTGCTATTTTCTCCTTAACTGTTCATTATACACATAGACACACAAATAAGGACTGCTGAACAGACTGGACTTTTTTAAAGAGTCTGCTGAACAAATGAGGCAGAGAACCCACCCAAGCTGCTGCTGTGATGGTCTTTAAATGGAGGGAGCTAAATAGAGGCCAGCAGCCACTCCCCATTGAGACAGCCACTTGTGCTTTTGAGATCTTCACCAAGGCATCCTATATGGCACGAGCGGGAAAGCCGATGCCTTTCGAATATGGAACCCTCAGCTCCCACGAGACCCACCTGGCATAGCCATTGGTCAGGGATTATGTACCCTGAGGTCCAAAAATATTGGCAGGATGCCTGGTTTCTCGGTTCTGCTGTAAGGGATTGCTGAGGCCAGGGAAGAGAGATTCTCAGAATCTCATCATGCCGCATAATGGGCTGCATTGCTACTCAGCCACCTGGACTGAATGCTTTTTTGAGTTGGCTTTTGCTCTTTGTGTAAAACTTCTGGAAAAATCTCCTTGCCCCGACTCTTCCTCACTTCCTGATCATTCAATTAATCAATCAATCTGACAAGATGATGTTGCATAGATTATGTGGAACAAATAAACAAATGTAGCAGGTGCATATTCTATGCCATTTGAGCTGGGCATCAGCTGTAGCCTATCTGGGCAGGAGAGGGGAGAAAAGGTAAAAGTCCTCTTCTTCCAGGTAATATTGTTGCAGTTTGCTGTTCCTACAGAAGAATACAACCAACTGTGACTGCAGTTATAGCAGAAGTGCCTGTGGGGGGATCTCGCCTAAAGGTTCAAAAGGCCAACATACACAATGAAAAGTCCAGTCCATCAATGGTTATGTCTTCTGACTCTACCATGAGGAGGACCGCAACACAACACCTGGCTTTTTACTGTTAGCAAAAAGATTTATTTAAAAGCTTCTTACAGGTGGACCTGGATTTCCAGGTGGACCCATGAAGCCAGGAATTCCAGGATGACCCTGCAGAAGACAACAACAGCTTTTAACATTCACCTGTTATTTCCATTCATAAATAAGAAATATCCTCAGTTTCGACATTAAAACCTATCAAGCAAGCAAGCAAGCAAGCAAGCAAGCAACCAAGCAAAAGAATAAGACACCAAAAAATAACCATTAGAGCATAAACTTGCTTGCTGCAACAACTCCATCGATATACGCAAGCTTCTGGGACCAGACGCTTGACAGAAAACATTACAGGCCTGGTTGGTTGGTTGTGAGAGGATAACTATTTGTGTGTAAACATGGGTAATGGAGCATTCTGTCCCCGGAGCTTGCTTATTTGTCTCAAATGAAGGATTGCTTGACATGATTCAACAGGTTGTTTTCTCTGATGACAGGGATGATCATTTCTTAGTCAAAGCATATTTCCCATGCATATAAATGATTTATTCCGGGATCACCCATGCATTATGGACAGACATATGGGATCATATCCAGTTATGCCTCTGGACTTGTAGGAATTACTGCTTGTGTAACAGGGGTTTGATGCTTCTGAAAGGAATATGAAGGCAGTGGGAAGGATGATTTCCAAACAGGTCAGTGGAGCCTACAGAAGGCGATAGCTCCAACGTCACCCCATGGATTCAAGGCAGGCATCTTGGCCCCTGCCGAGGGAAAAACAGCTCAAGGCAGGACAACGGTGGCTGGGAAAGCATTCAGCATGCCCTGCCACGGTATTGCCCACTTCCGCTCACGACCTTCCTGAAGCTTTCTTAAAGAACAAACCAACCAAAAGGAGAGTGAACGGTGTCATGACTCCATTACAGCTGTTGGTGCATAAAGTGCACGTCATCTCTGCATTTTGCACGCAATTTCTAATTTGCCCAGAAATTCTCATCAGTGTTTGCAGTGACCTGAAAACCTGGCACACTCTGGATTGTGGTAAAGCAGAACTTTAACAGCATTGTGATTGAAGAAAAGAGCTACAAGTGGAAGCAACAAGTAGCTTGCCTTTCCCTACCCCTAGTCCTCATGCCCACAAGGCTGAAGGAATCCGATACCAGCAAGTCTAAAGGGGGCAAGTAACTTTTATATGACCTGTTCCTCCTTTGAAGGGTTCAACTGTCCTTACAAGGACACTTCAGCTGTCCCAGGTTTGGCGCTGGAAGCCACCCTACCGATACCACTGCCACTATCACTCTCCCGTCTTTGTACATATTCACTATATTCACCTTCACTATATTTCGGCAGGTACTTACGTTCTTAACATTCTTCATAGTCAGGGGAAACTGTGATGGTCTTTTGCCAAGCACACTCTGTTTATTAGCACTGTTTTGTACACAATGGCCAGTAAGAAGGTCATGGGTGAGCCCGGGATGCCCAAGGGAGGAAAATGCTATTGTTTTAAGAAACATGTTGCTTGCGCATTTTCTCATACCTGTTCACCTTTCGGTCCAGCCTCTCCAGATGTCCCTCGGTCTCCTTTACCACCCTATTAACAGACAAATTGTGGACCTCAAACACAGAATGGCATTTTAAATATCTCTTGCTAATTATAATATGGTATAATAGCTTTCTCAAGGTGAGAGGAAAGCAAGGAAGCAAGTGCTTTTCAGGGTTCAGTCAACAAAGAAGTTTTTGAATTTATCCTCCATCCCTTTATCCATTATTCTCTATCCCCTTCATCAAGGCCAGGGACTCTGATCAAGGCCAGTTGGAGGTAGGGATGTGTGAAGAATTCAGTGATGCTGGGGGAGGAATATGATGGATGTTCAAAGCTTGATCCCCAATATTCTGGTTTGTTAACTTTGCACAGACACCAACAACGTGGGGTGAATTTTAAACCAGTTTGCAAACTACCATCTGCAGGACAGACCACAGTCAGCGCATTTTTCAAAACTGCTCATGAAATCTGCACAAATAAGCATGCCAAAACCGCATGGCTGTGACCCAGTTTATGGCGACGGGTCACTTTCTCACAACTTGTGTTGCAGCTACAAGGTTTTTGATGCCTGTTTGCACAAGATTAACCACTTCTGTGCAAATGACTCTTGATCCACCTGGTTTTCAAGTGCTTATTTGAGCAAATTTCATGAGCAGCTAAAAAACTGCGCAAGCCAAAGTTCATTGTAAAGACAGAAGTTCAGGCTCCACCCACCCCCCACCCCCCATTTTGTCCCATCATTGGATAGGAGGGAGGCAGGAGATCTCTTGCACTCAAATGAGCCAACATTCCCCTGTTTTAGGACATCTCTAGCTCCAGGGTTGAGAGGGAACTGGGTGGAACGCTGCATGCTGCGTCACTTTGTCCACTGTTGTGTCCTGGAGGAGATACCGAATAATGGCAGTTGTGTTAAGTCACCATTTAAAAAAATATGGACAATACTCCCCATGTAGCACTGCTCCAGGGTACTGTGCAACACTGAAGTGGTCTCTAGGCCCAGTTATCCAGCATCAGTTGGCATGCCAACCTGAGGGAGTTGCAAGGCAGCCTGCCGAATATGTTGTTGTGAGCGGGGCTTTCCTCCCTGTGCACAGTCAAGGCAGCAGACCATTCCTTTGCAAAAGCTCTTTATTCTCCAAAATATACCCAACAGATGCAATCAGCACAGAATGTATCTCTAAACATGCAAAGAATTTAGCAGCTGCTTCCGGGAACCCTTCTTTTGAGAAAGTCTGAGCCACAACTGGGAGGGTCCTTTTGGAAGTGAGCGTGCCTTTTCTCTGTATAGTGGCCTTCTAGGTGATTAGCCTTCCTCTCCCAACACTGTGCCATGGGGTCAAGAGTTCTACCAACCCCCTCTCCCATGTCCCCTCTCAACAGTTTTACATCTTGGTTATTCTCCAAGTTTGTCTTGGCACCTGCATAGAACCACCTTGAGATAAGGTCCTCCACTTCTCCCATGTCAGAGTCTGAGGTCCCAAATTCCCAGTCCCCCTCTGCCTCCTCCTCTTCTTTGTCTGACTCCCAGAAGCTTGACCTGGGAACATATGCCAAGAACAACTGCCCTTCTCATTCCCAACAGATGTCAGTTTTAAGGATGAAACTATGGGATTCCCTACTACCAAAGTTGGTTATGGCCACCTAGTTGGATGACTTTAAATGGGAATAGACATATTCCTGGAGAAAAAGACTATCAATGACTTCCAGTCTTGGTGTCAAGGTGCTACCTCCTGTACCAGAGACAGAATGCCTCCTTGCACCTGTTGCTGGGGAACATGGGTGGTAGGTTGTGTTGGTACACTTGTGGGTTTTCTGTGGACATCTGGCTGGTTAAATTGGAATACTTTGTAGGTTTAGGGTTTGGCGGACTTTGGTAGGCAGGACTATTCTCTCCTTAGCTTTGCACTTTTTATTTGTCCAAAACAATTCTTCCTCCATTATGGCAGAGGGTTCATTCTGGTATTCTATTTCTTTAAAAGAAAATTAATATCTGAAGTCACCAAAAGAAAAGGTACAACTGACCTTAGGACCTTCCACACCTGGTGGCCCAGGAGGACCTCTGTGTCCAGGTTCACCCTGAAAGACAAAGGAACATCAGCTGGGGGTGGGGGGCATGCTTTCTGTACATGCATGTTCATTAAAGAAAACAAAACCCACTCTGCACATTAGGAACTAAATATCTATGCCATCCTTCCACCTGGTGAGCTACTCTCTTGAAGACCACAAGCACATGTTTGCTTGGTGCATGGTTGAAACATTTGATCCAGATGTGTCTGTTTAAGTGGGGGTGGTCCACAAAATACATCCTACAAAAGGACAGGAGATAATAAACATAAATGAACCCCGGTCTCCCAAGTATCTCAGAAAGAGAAAAAATAATAATGGATCTAGCAGGGTTTGCCTGTCTCTTGTGTTCCGTGCAGAGAACTGTAATTATATCTAGAATGTATCCATTGATATTCATAATCGCAATAAAGAGAGTGTAGCTGTGCTCTTTTTTACCATTTTTCCAACTGGGCCTTCTCTGCCAAGTGGACCTGGGAGGCCTTTGTCACCCTTGAATCCTGGCATTCCAGGAAGTCCAGGTGGTCCAGGGGGGCAGTCACTGCAAACATCCTAAAAGAGGAGAATAAATGCTTCCCTGATGCACATTTTTGTTCCATGATTCACATCCTACCCTTCCTTGCAAAGAATTCCCAAAGAATCCCAAACAAGAACCAGTCATAGAAATGACAGTGCCTCACATTAACAATATTAAAACATTGTTTTAATCTGCAATCACCAATATACAACAGAGGGAAATAGCACCATCAACATAACCAGCTGATTGGGCAAAGTGAACCTCTTGTCTGTGCCCCCAAACACCTGCACAATCAATGCATTGTTAATAGTTGCTTAAATGACAATACGATGGAAAACATTGTGTCTGTCTATTATAAGCGAATTCCAGAGCTGGGGTGCCACCACCGAAAAGGTCCTGGTCACCCAGCAGACCACTTTGCTCTAGAGCAACTCAAGCAATGTTTTCCCAGCAGATCCTAAACCCTGGATTGAATGGTGCTACTTCAGGCAGCTGCGTGGGGCTTTATGCAGCAGCAGTATCACCTTGGACTTGTTCTGGAAACTTGGCGGCAGCCAGTGTGGAGATTTCCTCACCAAGGTGTGCTCACATCTCACTATCCCTGTCCAGAATGAACAGCTGAGTTCTGCTCCATTGGCAGTGTCTACACCATCTACAAGGAAAGCCTTACATAGAGAGTATCAGAGTTGACTGCTTAGGAGGCTATCAGAGCATGGGACCCTGTACTCAGGTTTGCTCCATAAAGAAATGACAAGCCAGACAGAGCTGGTCATAAGTCCTCACACTGAAGCCTCCTAGATTTCCAATGACAGCTCTGAGCCAAGGAGTGCTCCCAAGGCACACCTCAGACACTCCACCTGGGACAGTCAACTATCAAGTCCCTGGACCTGGGAACTATCTAACCACATGCGTCCTTTTGTATCAGAAAATAAATTCAGTTTATGATAAGGCAAACAGCTTTTTCTAGTTGGAGGCTGGATTGCACCATGGACATGCCATAAGTGGTGTCTCTTTTCATGGGCAGATCTTCACTGCACAACTATCTTGGTGTGATTCCAGTTTATTTCTTGTGGCCTTGCAAACAACTTTAGCAAATGTCATTGTTAAGGATGATTCAGCCTCCCTCCCAGAATGGAGTATCCCTGCTTGGAGAATGTATACCTCTCAATATGAGGTGTTGCAGACAAAGAACATGTGTCTCAGATCTTTGCCTATGGTGTTCACACAGCTAAACCATTCACAGAATGACACTGTGAAATTCCCTGCCAGAAGCTATGCTGATGACAGCCATATGTTATCTCAACTGAGTCAGCAGAAGTGCACATTCTCTTGAGGTTCTTCTGGTGAACCTCCCAAAGGAATCTTATTGGCTTCAATGGAAATATGGAGTTGAACTAAATAAGGATTTGTTCTGCTCCACCAGAGTTCTTTTTCCTCAAAGCCTTCTGTGAAAGAAGGTGGCTAGAGAAGATGAACTTCACCCCATGTTCATATGTTGCTATCCCCTTTCCAGGCTGCTGCATGTTTCTTTCGTCATGGGGAGCCTGGCATGGGGAAATCTCACCTTAAGCCACATCAATTGCTTGATGGAAGATGGATAAAGAAAGTTTAAGTGACTTGCATATCCTCTACCTATGATTCTAGGTCCTTCTTGAAGGGAGACACATGGATCATCTCCTTTCAGCTAATCCTGAAAGCCAGGGGAGAGGAAACACAACTATTTCACATTTCTTTCTTCACCTATCCACTTTCTTTTCAAGACAGCTCTAGTTAACAACCATGTATATTCTGCAAATAGCGATATGGCTACATGATCCAGGCAGTTTTCTCAGATGTTAGGTCCTCACAGTAGACCAAAATCTTACCTTAACTAAAAGACTGATATCTCCAGGTGAAAGGAGAGGAGAGGCACCCTGAGGAGAGAGGGGGGGAAAAGAGATCTGTGTTTTTCAATGCTATTTTTGAAGTGCTGTATCTGAGAATCTGAAATCAAAGGCAAAAACTTGAAAGAGCCATGAAAGAGATTAGCCGTGCACTGGCCAGAGTTCATTGGATTAAACACATCTTTTGAGGCACAGCATCACTGAAATGCTCCATGCTGGGAGGACATAACTCTGATTTCACTGATTTAACACAGGGATGGACTTGAAAGACATCTACAACACTGTATTTGTTTAGTGCCTTTGATATTTTAATTTGGTCTGTTTGTTTCTCAAGATGTGGGAAAGAAGGATACAGGGAGCAGAAGCGCTGCATCTTCTAGACTTGAAAAAGGCACCAAAATTCAAAACAGAAGGAGAAAGAGAGTCAATATGATGACATACCGGCTTTCCTGGAGGCCCTCTTTCACCTGGATTTCCTGGTAAACCCTACAGGTGAGAAAGAAAAAGAAAGCAACGTGATGTCACTGCATTTTTGTTGGGCCTCCCATTTAGAGATAAATGGATCCAAGAGCTTGCTCTTTAATAGTGACATCACAGCATGAATTTGTCCTCAAATAAGACCGATTTAGCTGAGCAGAGTACATTAGAGTACAGTAGGCCTGGATAGGATAAGAGGGATAGTTTCTCCATGCAGAATGTAGGTAGTTGCTAAAGAGCAAGAGGAAAAGGAAGCATCACACCCCAAACCTGAAAGAGCTGTGCTGCTGTCCAGTTAATTTCCAAAGTGTGATGCCCCCTTTTTTGATCCGGAACTATTTTGATCTAGGATGTCCTAGCATAGACGTCTGCCATTCTGTGTTGAGGGTGCTGGTTGCTAGTTGGCTGCCCACCATATGGATTGGTAGCATCAGTTGTAGTTCCATGTGTCCATGCCTGGGAACAGGCTAACCTGGGATGGAAGACCACCACTCCACCAGCAATGGCTAGGGATGGGTGGTGTTGCGAAAGGGCTGCTTGCTTTTGCCTCCTTCCTAAGCTGAGAAGGGGAAACACACGGAGTTTGCTTTGTTTTTGTTTTAAGTGGGGCATGATGCCTATATGCACACATATAAAGACGGAAATTTGCATAAATTTCAGCTGCAATTTGTGTAATCTGCACACATTTCCTTGTCTCAATTAAAAGTCTTTAAGAATGTAGAGACGTCAAAAGGACTGAAGATGGTGTGTTGGCTTGACTTTTTCTCAGAGCAGTTCTACACCAGTGTGGTGCTGATGTACCAGAATTTGGGGTGGCAGGGCAGGCCAGGCCAGTCTGCTGGATTTTGTCCCCATAGCCAGGTTCTTCTCACAGTCCCACAGACAGCCATCTAACTTCAATGTAGTGGTGAAAAGGGAATTAAGCACAGCATAGGATACTGCTCACAACCTTATTAAAATGTGCCTTTTAAGCAAATGGTCCTTAACAACTGTCATTTCCAAGCATTTTAATGCATGAGTGAACTTGCAAAGCCCTTCCCATAACATGGTAAAGCAAAGCAGGTATTACTTAAAATGCAGCACATCTTGCCCTAAAGACAAACTGTGACCAGGTGACAGATGCACCTGCCTGTTCATTCTTCCATCTGTGTCCTTCGCTAGCTCTTCCAGTTCTTTCTTTTTAAGCTGGAATTGGACAGGACGGTCCTTCAGAGGATAATTTCAAACAGAAGACTCTCCTCTGGATCACTTCAAACTGAGGTCTGTCCTCCTTAAAAGAGGACCCATGGCCACCTTGAGTCACTTAGCTAGCATGGTGGTTGCTTTCTAGTACTTTCATGCACTACACGGTCTTCTTGCATGCCTGTGAAACCAGAGGTTTGGCCAGGAGGAAGGGCTGTCCAAGTTCTTCACTCAATACTGGGAGATCCACAGAGCTTCATGGAGAATGGCAACACAGGTAGGGCAATGGTACTAGAGGCTTGGCACACCACTAACATCCTCCAACTCATGGAGGACCTGCACCTAAAAGGTGAAGGGACTCTTTCTTTGAGTTCCTTGCTTTATGCATCCATGTGTTAAATGCACAAAGTCCAATTTTGGCAGTACCACCTCCGCCATGTATCCACTATTAGGAAGAGGAGGACTAGGAGAGAAAAGCAAGAGGGAATTTATTCAGTACTTCCCTTTCTATGTACGTGAAATCTTCCAGTTCACGCCTCCCTCCTCAGCACAAAACAGAGACCATTAAGCCTCACCAGGGGAGAACCATCAGCTTCCAGAATGCTCTGACCATGGGGATTGAGGGGAATGGGAAAAGAGGTGAGCATGAACATTTCTCTTGAGATTGTTCCCTGGGGAAAGCACAGGAAGGAGCAGCTTGGGGATAATTACAAGTATACACAAATTTGCCTATCAGAGCCCTCGGTGCAACATTTGAGGAATACGATCTTTTTAAATGTGTTCGTTGGTTACTTTTAAGATGTGTTCAACAAAAGGAAGCCCTTGTTCCTCTGTCCAAATGATAGAATTGATGGTATAGAACAGAACAGCAACCCATGTAGGGCCAGGTTAATTGGTAAATGTATCACGCTGCAGAGGTGCCCTTATGTGGACTGAGAGATGGAAAACCTTGCATAGTTCATAGCTTATGAATGAAGTATTTCAATAAAAGAGTGTTTATGTGGAGGTGGTGGGCAGGAGGAGATAAATTCAGAAACATCCAGCAGAATTCTTCAGGGTTCTATGCTGACCAAGGAAAAGGACATGGTCCTTTCCATCAGTCGCCCATCCTTCTTTCCTATCAACTCAATACTCTCTCTTATTTTTTTGTTGTTATCTTCCTTTCTTTTCAAATGATCCCTTTCCTTTTCCATTTTTCTCCAGCCTCTGCTTTTGTTTTATTTCCTCTTTCTCCTCCTCCTTCTCCGCTTATTCTTCTTCAAAAATATTAAACTGCAATGGGCACATCACCAGAAGAACTTTACAAATTCCAGGATCATCTGATGTGGTCTGCACTTGACAGATTAAAGTCCGTGGTTTGCGACTTAAGCAACCCAAGACCTTCACCCATTCCAAATGTAATGTCAACATTCTTGGCTCAAAAAAGTACACAGATCTGTAATTTGAAAAGAAACTCTCTTGAAATACTGTTTAAAAGTGAATTCTCATACAGATTTTTAAGTTCAATATGGATGGAATGCAGGTATGTGTGGAGATATGAAAGAGAGAGACTGCCCTGACCCTGATGTTTCCATTATGACAGGGTTGTGGCAAAGGACAATTTCATATAAAGAAGCAAAAAGAGGGAAATGCAGTCAATGCTTTCTTGACTAATATATATATATATATATATATATATATATATATATATATATATATATGATGGCAGAAATGGAGGAATGCTACCCTAGGAATATTCCTGGCCCACAATGCATTGCACTGTGCATCCACAATGCATTGCATAAGCTTACCAGATGCCCACTTATTTACTTACATCCTGACCAGCTGGTCCAGGTTGTCCTTGGAAGCCTGGCACACCACGGGGTCCCTGGTGAAAGAAGTGAAACAAATAATTTGGATATATTATTTCCCCAAAGTCCATTCCCTATATCCATTTTAGGGAAAATCCTCAGTCCTTTTTTCTGGCCTCCATTCATGTCTATCAGCACCCTGCTGAATGTCCTAGATTACCATTCTCCATGGTCATTCTCTGAGAAAATGGTACTATTTTAATGGTAGCAAGATTCTCACAACCCCTAATTCCCAGAATAGTGCAGACTTGGGGGATTTTAATTTTTGGAGGGACCAATGTTATGCTCTGCAGCCACTGGCTACCAAGAGGGACCTTAGGAGCTAAAATCATTATGAAGAAAAAAGTGATACTGCACAACTGTTACTCCAGGGAGTAATCCTTTGAAGTCGCTTGAAATACTTTTCCTCTAAATTCTCTGCTCCAGATAAGAGTTGAAAGGGTTTCTTGTTTAAGAAACATTGGGCAGCCTTACTCCACCATGAAATTCTTATTGCTCATGTAGCTTACTCATAGCAAATAAAGTCATCATTAGTTAGGTTCTGCAGGGTGATTCTGAGGCAGTTGTGGGATTAATGTAGGCCAAAGACTGCAACTCAAATAATTTGGCCACCTAATGAGAAGGAACAACTCATTGGAGAAGACTCTGATGCTGAGAATGACTGATGGCACAAGAAGGGGACAGCAGAGGATGAGGTGGCTGGATTGAGTCACTGCGACTGTGGGCGTGAGCTTGGATGGACTCCAAGAGATGGTGGAGGACAGGAGAGCCTGGAGAAATGCTGTCCATGGTGTGATGATGAGTCAGGCACGACTTTATGACTAAACAACAACAAAAGACTGCAAACCTATATACTTTCCGCGTGTTCAGCATCCCATAAAGCTGATTGGTGAAAGATTTAAAACAGATGAAGAGATGTGCTTCCTCACACAGTGCATTGTTCAACAATGGAATTCCTTTGCACAAGATGTTCTGGTGATCAACTATTTGGATGGCTTAAAAAGGGTTCAAAACATTTATGAAAGTTAAGGCCATTCAAAGCTACTAGTCCTGCTGGCTCTATGCCCAACTTTGGTATCAGAAGCAGCATGCCCATGCACACTAGTTGCTGGGGAACATGGGTTGGGGGGAGCTGTTGCACTCATGTCCTGCTTGCTGGTTTCCCATGGGAAGCTGGTAGGGCACTGGACTATGGAAAGGTGGAACAGACTGGTCTGATCCAGCATGACTCTTCTTATGTACTTAATATTTACTGTATTTCCCCCAAAACCCATGACTTCCATATGGGCTCTCACATCAGTCACTACCATAAAAGTAGGTGGACTCTGAGAAGCACATCAAAGTAGTCAATCTGGAAATGAGTGACCAAGCCAACAGTTCTGGGTTGCCTTCCCATTTGTTTAGAAAGATGCACACCATTCATTTCCTGCCACCAGCCCCACAATAGAAAACGCAACGCATACGCTGACATGTCTTCTCTCTTTTCCTGTTCCCCACCACAAGCTGTACACACTTAGAAAGGCATACTGTACCGATGGCCCTTTGTCTCCAGGAGGTCCCATAGGTCCCTGAAAAACCGCAAATGCAAAACACACAAAATGAACACTCTGAATCAGGTAGGTCCATATCATGACATGTACTTCACAGCACCAATGAAACCTGAACTTGTGCATTTTCTCATGGATATTACTTGTTCCAAAAATACTAGAGGTGCTGCCAACTTCAGTTATGCTGAAAATTACTCACAGCATTAATTTTAACAGGTCTCGGGTGTTTTTGCTGCTGCTTGTTAGCTTTATCTACCGCTTTGCTCTGTGCTTTTCACCTTCATGTTAATTGTGAGTTTGTGTTGACTGGGGAGAACCTGAGAGTACAGATGTGCTGAAGTTGCCAGAAAAAGCAATGAATAAGAAAAGCAAGATTACAAGATGAAATTTAGCCCAAACCCCTTTTTTTCGGTGGAAGGTGGCATAACTCAGTGACAGAGCACATGTTCAAACCTCCAGCAAAGACTAGAGAAAACTCTGCTTGAAACCCTGGGAATGGCTGCCGACCAGTGTCAGCAAGACTGAGTCAGATGGACCAATGTCCTGACCCGGATATCCAGTTTCACCATTGCAGGGTGGATAGCAAGCCATGGTGGCTTGTCATTCACAGGCCAGCTAGATTTATGTAACTCAACGCACAGACACCATGCTGGGATGTTTGAAGCTAGTGAAGGTGAGTGGTTAGCAAATTACCCAGAATCCATGTTCGGCCATCACAGCCGGCTGCAGCAGTGGTGATTATATGACTCAAATTGGAATGTAACCAGCATGCATGGGGTGAATCACAAACTCTTGCAATGCACGGACCAACTTATGATCATGCAAACAGGGCCAGTAGATGAGAGATTCCTATGTCCCCACCAACAGAGCGATCCTATCTCTCTTGCCTGATCTTGAGGGTGATTAGAATGGGCAGAGGACGCTGTGGGAAGGGAAGCAAGCTAGATATAGTGTCCCTTGGTTCCGCAAGATGGGTAGGCCTAGCACAGCCTAGAAGGCTACATTTCCGGTACTTACTGGTGGCCCAGCCAGTCCCAGACCTGGTTCCCCTCTGTCTCCTGGCTGGCCTGGTACTCCAGGAGCTCCCCGATCTCCCTGAGAGAGAGAGAGAGAGAATAAAGAGTGAAGGCATTGGTACAGGTGTGTCCATTCAAGACCTAACACATTTATTTAAAAAACAGATTCATTCCATGTAGACTAAATCCTTCCAATTAAAAAAGGGGCGGAGGACAGACAAGCCCTGCTTTCATCCTTCAGCACTAAAAGGCAAGACACACAAGGAGAAGGGAAGGAGAGGGAGGAAGGAGAGGAGGGAATGTCGTTTTCCCAGGCTGGATCGAGGTGGTGAGCCATGGACCGACATTCAGATGCACCCCGGGTCTGTCTGATCTTTCCTTGGGGTAGTCTCACTAAATTGAAAATCCTGCAGAAGCAAGACACACCCAGCAGTTTGTGTTCTGTTCAGCTCTGTGGCAATCCATTAAATACAAATGAGCCAGATTTCCTTGTTCTGGTACATCCCTAATAGGAAGTCCACATGGGCGCTCACTAGGATATCTGTGGATCAGCCTCTTCCCTTGTGTAGCTGCAAGTTACACAAATAAAGCATCTAAGATTTTATTGATACCATTACCTTGAAAAACAACCCAGGGTGTGATCCAGCCACATGTAGGAAGTTGCATGCATTCCATCTATATCTCACCTTTCCTCTAAAATAGTTCCCCAACCCCATTTTCACACAGGAACCATGTAAGTTAAATTAGACTGAGAACTGTTGACTGACCCAGTATCCCTGAGAATGCTGCCTGGCCAACAGCAATTTGAACCTAACCAGTCCTAGTCCAGGGCTATAACCACTATGCCACACTGGTGCCTAAGGCACCCAATTAGTCTATCAGAAAAAACACAATATCCCCACTTCACAGCTATTTGTGCTAAGTGTGATATTTGCCACTTAATGTACCAATGGAAATGTATCAGCAAGATATAAGATGTAAACTGCTTCTATTTAAAATTATATGTAACTGATGCATTCCAAAAGCAAAATATTCTAATATTTTTAAAGTGACATCTGTATAATGAAATTCTGCCAAATTTGAGACTCCCTGAAGCCATTCAACCTTGCCAATGATTTAAGAGGGGTAGTGTGACTTTATAAAGGTAAAAGGTAAAGGTTTCCCAGTCATGCCTGACTCTAGGGGGCGGTGACTTTGTATTATGCTGTAAATTAATTCTTGAATCTGGAAAACAAAACTCGTATCTCATTCTTGGAAAAAAATGGAGGATGGGGTGGAGTCTTCTTGCAATTTGTGATGGCCAATCACAATAAAATGGTAACATGAATGCTTACCTTGGGTCCGTACGGTCCAGGTAAACCTGGCAGCCCTCTTTCACCCTACAGATGAAGACAACCGCAAAAGAACGTGTTACATTGCCTACTCAGTTGCCAGACAAGATTCCCAAGCTATCCCTTATTCAACTTTTTAAAAAGAAAATGATACTTCCAGGCAACATTTTGTTGTTGTTAAGGGGACCCAACCCCAGCTATGCCCACAGATATGGCCAATTATGATATTATTCCTGTATTCATGGACTTAAAAGCAGAGGGTGGAAATGAAGATCTATTTATAAAAGATATCAATAATATGGTAGCACACACATCAATAAACACTATCAACTGATATTGCTTATTTGCATTTCTAAAATGATTTTGCCAAAGTCTGTCAAGTGGTTGCAGTGTTGGCAGGAAAATGTTCACTCACTCTGTATGGGAAAACCTGTTTCATCATGTAATAATGATTGATTATAATCAAGGTGCACTTGGAAATGGAGGAAGCAAGTGGGATCTGAACAAAAGATTGTATGTGGAGCTGTATTCATTCCATTCCTGCCCACTCTTGAATTTAGACCAAATTAGGCACCCTCTGTCCTCACTGGGCTATTTTTGGGGTCCTTCCATTTATGTTTTCTCCCCTAAAGGTCCCTTGAACTTCTGCAGTTCTTTCAAGCTTTTCCTCATGCATGGGTTGTGCTACTCTAGCTATATCAGCAGACACTTTCACAGGCTGGGCATCAGAAACAGAGGGAATCATGCTGAAAGAAAGTTTGTAAGTCCCTTTGCAGTTCATTCCAACTTGTGGATTATCCAGTGAAAACTGCTTGGTGAAAGATTAGAACACACCAACACACACACACAACCATTTCCACAGACAGCACAGAAATAATCAGCTTTCCTCCCAGAAGAGGGGGTCTTCCATGGTCCTCCATGTCCATCTGTGGATTTTGTTTGCAGAGTGTAACCAATGACTTAACTATTGTTCCATTAAAAAAACATTTTTTCCAGATTGGTGTTCTTCCAGCTCATGCCGGTTTTCCTCACAGGTTAGCAATGTACCCAAGTACACAGTGCACAAGTACGATGCGCATCAAGTGCCATAGTTTAGAACATGATGCAAAAGCCAACCTTTTTATAGTAATGCAATATACTTCTGAATCGTAATAATTTTTAAAGGTGGGGAAGATAACCTATACCAAATTGTAGATACAACTTTCTTGCTCTCTTCTTTCTTTTTTTTAAGTTAGTTTATCTCAAAAGGAAATTGCAGAATACAATAAGATAACAGAGTGCCAATCTACAGAATAAACATGAAATGGGATGTGGCAAGTTTTCTGAACCTTGACCTGAGAACTACATGGATGGCCATAAAGTTTAGGATTTGCACTTACTCTTTCTCCATCTCGACCCTTGCCAGGTAACCCAGGTTCTCCGACAACTCCAGGATCACCTGGAGGTCCAGGTGGTCCCATTTTCCCTTCCTTCCCAGGATCGCCCTGCAGCAGACATGCCAACATTAGGCATTGCTTACAAGAAAAGACAAACTCATTCCATGGTATACATACCAAAATGAGTAGGCAGCAGCTATCAAAATGAGCAGGAAGTCTGAAGTACAACAAACAATTTGCTCGCCTAGTCTAGCGTTATTCAGAAAATGATGTATCCTGGTGTCAACCTGTATCTTTCTTTTGCTTAATTGTCTCTACAGTACCATTAAGATGCGCACCATTGACAATGTGTGCAATACAGAGAAAGAGAGAGAGAGAGAGAGAAAGCTTGGAAACATTTTCTGTACATTATAGACTGCCAGAAAACTATTGCAGGACTCCCCAGCATAGTGTTGCCAAGTAGCACGGTGCCCACAAACAACTCCAGGCAAATAACATTTGTACCTTGTCTCCTTTTTGTCCATCACTTCCTACTCGGCCAGGATCTCCAGGTATACCCTGCAATGAATTAAAAAAGCACCGATTTAAGCTGTTCTATTGAAAAGCGTAGTGAGACATCACATGGGATTCATCAAAATGCATGAAAAGCTGAACAGTTCAAACCAATGTGAAAACTCTCCTGAGAGAAGGAATCTCTCATTTTATTGGAAATGTGTATTTTTGCATCTCAACAAAGCTATGCCAAAAGTGAAAATTTGGAGGTTTCAGCTTGTGCAAGAGTATAAAACAAAAATCTGAGGAACTCTGAAGAAAGCCAGAAGAATTTAGAAAAGCAATGAAAATTTATTTGAGGGTTTCCTGAGCATCCCTCATTTCTTGTAGGGATTGGGTCCAACACCACTGAGGGCATGTCCCAGCTAGACAAGGCAACTGATTTTGAGTCAGATGGGGGTAGAAAGTGTGGTTGACGCCCCAAGGGTGTAACGGTAAGAAGGTAAAGGTAAAGGTTTCCTCTTGGACGTGAAGTCCAGTCATGCCTGACTCTCGGGGGCGGTGCTCATCTCCGTTTCCCAGTCGAGGGAGCCAGCGTTTGTCCGCAGACAGTCTCCATGGTCATGTGGCCGGCATGACTAAACACCGAAGTGCACGGAACGCTGTTACCTACCCACCGAAGTGGTACCTTTTTATCGACTTGCATTTGCATGCTTTCGAACTGCAAGGTTGGCAGGAGCTGGGACGGAGCAACGGGAACTCATCCCATTGTGCGGATTCGAACCGGCGACCTTTCGAACTACCAGCCCAGCAGCACAGCAGTTTAAACCACTGCGCCAAGGGAGTAGGACTGGAGAAAATTGCAGAAGCAGACAGAAGGAACAAGAGCTGTCTTCTAAATCTGTCAGTGGTCAGCTATTTTGGGCCCTCTGAACATGTGGGAAAATGGACTTCAGATGAAGAAGAGAAAAGGTGGAAAATCCAGGAGCCAAGAGTCACACATCAGTTGGATGAAAGGGAAGGAGAACAACCCGCAAAGACCCCCATTGAGGCACAAACTTGGTAGCCCACTCATCTTAAGAAAGGCCGGCCATGGTAGGCACGGTCAGTTTTGTGACAACTCTTGGCCATGGTGCTCCCACCCAGAAAACTGTCTGAGGCTTTCAAGGTCCTGTGCTATTTATTTATTTTATTTTATTTTTCGATTTATATCCTGCCTTTTTCCTACAAAGGGCTCAAGGCAGCTTACATCATTCTCCTCCTCCATCTCATCCTCACAACAACAACCCTGCGAGGTAGGTTGGGGTGAGAGCCTGTGACTGGCCCAAAGTCACCCAGTTGGCTCCATGGCCGAGCAGGGACTAGAACCCAGATCGCCTGTGTCCCAGTCCCACGCTCTTAACCACTACACCACACTGGCTATGCAAAGGCTTCTTGGAACTTCTGTCTTTGTTGGCTGCTTGAGGATATTACCTGTAGCCAGAGGCAAATTTTGTAGGTTGGCAGGTTACACTATAGAAGTCATTGACTACAAATGCAACTTGAGTAGAAAAAATGGGAGGGTCCAGACAAGCTGGTTAAGGATGCTCTCTAGCTAAATTTCAGAGAATTGGAGCTTGTCAAGATGTGAAGGAAGCACAGTGCCAGTGGAATGCACACTCCCTGGTTAGGCTGGCGGAACAGAAGTGTTGCATCTCAAGGGGAAAGTTGCACTGGGTCTATGGGGAAGGTACAGATGGCACACTGCTTGCAAAATCCTCTTGACATGAGATGGTTCTGTGCCACTAGGGAAAGCAGCCATGTCTTTAGCTGCCTGCCGCGTTCCAAGATGCCCTTGTGCCAAGGGTGTCAGGACTTTCCTGGCTGTTATATGTACACACCACATTTCCAGGCAATCCACGAGGTCCTGGTGGGCCTGCAGGTCCAGGAGCACCCTGTGGAAAGAAATTTAATCCATGATTTGGATGGAGGTTCTGTCTTAAAGGAAAACAATCACAAGGAAATCAGAAGTTACTGTGCCACGTTTCAAACAAACAATGTTTTCTTTGCACATCAAAGGTTTTATTTTGTACATGAGACCCTCCCAAAGGTTGCATGAGATGAAATATGGATATTTGGGGGTGGAGGTGAGAGGAAAATACAGGTGCATTCACTTTTAAAGTGTTTACCCAGTCAAGTATTAACTATGGATGGCATCATCTTAATGCTCTAACGTTCAGCTGGAAAGCAAGCATGTTGTCCATGTGATGCAAACTAGGGCTGAAATCGGTCTTGGGTGGTTTGAGTTTCTGCAGCATCCTGCATCTAAATATGCATTTTTGCTGAGGAAGAGCCCATCCAGCCCAGCACTGGTCCAAAGAGCAAGTCAAGGAAAGAAGATGGACCTTTGCTCATATGGAAAGGCTTTCCCTATTGGAAGAGAAGCTGGAATTCAGAGGTCAGGTCAACGGTGAGATTGCCATTTTGCTGAAGGATAGATACAATGTCAGGCTCGGATGATCATGGGCAGAGATGTAACTCATGTTCCTCAGCCCTCACATCCCAATTGAGTACCACAAGATTCCCTTTTCACTCTTGCAGCCCGCAGCTTCCTATGTTATCCAAATCCCTGTGGCGTGCAGTGGAGGATGGCCTGGGACACTACAAGAAACCCCACATTCTGGAGTGGTTTTGAAGCCAATCCAACCATGCACCTTGCTGGGTTCAGGTGACTTGGGAAGATGCAAACCATGTGGGTAACTGAGGAAAGCATCCACTGTGTGACTGGTATGCAGGGAGGTGGGGCAAGGGGAAACCATCAGGCTGTCTTTCCCCTCTCCATACAAAACCCAATCAGTAGTTCCAGGAGGGCAGAATTCAGACTGACACGGTCTATTCTGTGTCTTTTAGTAGAATTCTGAGTCCACCGACTGGAACCCTGTTCTACTGCCAGCTGCATCCTATAGGGATAAGCTTCATATACTTGATACAGATTAGGAATTCCAACTGTCTAATTTAGATCTGAACTCTGTGGTTCTTAGACAACTGGAGTTGGAGAAATTCATGCCAGTCCACCATAAAGCAGCTGAAGATCTACCTAGTCTACATTCTGGCCAACCTGAAGGACCACTCAGTGCCCTGCTATGACTCCTTTCCAATGATTTGCCTGTAGACAACCGGGCTTCAGGGAGGAGATGCCACAGATCCACCTGGAGATCTTAGTGCTCAGTGCACCCGTGAGGACTATGTCGCCTTACACAGAAACACAGAAACAGAGTGAGTCAGAAGGGGCCTCCCAGGCCATCTAGTCTGACCCCCAGCTCCAGCCGGCTCCGCTCATGACATGCCCACCGTGTGGACGTCACCATGGGGACAATAGGATAAGCAAATGGATACTTCCAAGAGCTAGAGAAACATTTGTGGAATCAAGTATGCGAGCCTTCCAGATGATACCTTCCCAGTGGGAATCAGATGAGCACCTTGGAGGGACAAGGAGAATTTCAGCAGAAACCACTGGATTTAGATGAGAACGGAGCATATGTACAGTTCATGGTGTCTTGTGCACAAGAATGCATTGTCGTGCTATTGGCGAAAGTGAATGGGGAGTTTGCCATGCTGAAATGTCCAGCTGAATTTTATTTATTTATTTATTTATTTAGTTCACGGGCTTATATGCTGCCCCATTCGCCTAAGCATCGGGGCGGCTTACGGATAAATAAATAAATCTCATCAATACAATAAAATACAGTTGGAATTGACCAGCAAATGAAGACTCTTTGGTTTAATCTAGCAGGAAGGTATCCTGAGCAAGTCCTTTTGAAATCAGTGGGAGCTGCTGCCACCTCCTTTCTGCTCTGGAAGGCTTGAGAAGACCTTCCAACAGGCTGGAGCCACCAGCTTGTTCCAAAGGGGACCTTCTGCTTACTTAACTGCCTGACAACTGAATTCCATCTACTGAACGTTTCACGTGTCTTTTTGAGGGCACTGTGACTCCTAATCTGTGGGTGTCTCAACAGATGGCAAAGTGCAGGAGTGGGTGTGAATGGGCTTGTGTGTGACAGAGGTACTTCACAGGTCTTCAGGCTGCCTAGGAAAACAGAACCATCACTTACAATCTCTCCAGGGACTCCAGGTTGACCGTCAGCTCCATCCTGTCCCTTCATTCCCTAAGGGACAAGAAGCAGGGGATCAGTCCAATGGGAGAGCAGACCGAATTGCTGGCATTTCTACAGCCATGCAGAAAGGAGCAGCCAGCTCACACAACAGGTGCTAACGAATGTGCAGATTTACACAACTGCAAGCAAGTATGTGCTTGGGAAATGGGGTGGGGGATCTGATCCTGGCAATGAGTGAAAGAGGGAATGAAAGATCCTGACACTCCATGAAATGAAGAGAGAATCCTTCCTCCTAGGGAAAAAAGGCATTGCTCCACACCATTCCATTTGCCTAATGGCCTGTCTGCATTATACTGCATGGAAAAAACCACTCCCATCCCTTCTGATTCAAGTGCCACAGTTCTAGAGAAATCAGTCATGGATGCAGCCGGTGCACCATCTAGTTCTGCTCTGGATGGTTCCCATGCGACTCACCCTGACGGTGGGGACAGACTGATTGGAGGGCTGAGATCCAGGGCCTATTTTGCTCACTTACCTGCTGCCCTGCTGGTCCAGGGAGCCCCTGCTTGCCTGGAATGCCTCGTTCGCCCTGTGGAAAGGAGGGGAGACATGGGTGGGGGACAGAGATGTTCTCATCTACAAGTGCTTTGAACAAAGTAAGAGAACACAGCTCTCCAGGGAACTGAATATCTTCCGCTCATCACAGGAGCTCTGAAAAACACCCTTGCCCATTGTTCATCACTACCTACACAATGCACAAAGAAGTACAATTACTTCTGTCTCTCTCTTCTGTTCCCAACACAGGATACATCCACTTCAGCTGATTTTAGTCCCTGAAAATTATCCATCTTTTCCTCGCTTGTGAGGAGACAAAGCCAGCTTGCGTAGCTCCATTTTACCCACACCACAACCACCCTGGAAGTAGACTAGGCTGAGAGTGAATGACTGGCCCAATGTCACCCATTGCATTTCATGCTCTAGCAGGGACTAGAACTCGGATCCCTGGGTCCCAGTCCAGTGCTCTAACCACTACACCACACATGGCTCCCTCCTCGCCCTTTGATTTCCAGTACATACGGCAGGTAAGGAAAGAAGATTACAGCAATATGCTTACAGGTTCGCCTCTTTCCCCAGGACCACCTTTTTCACCTTTGGACCCTTTTTCTCCCTGGAAGCAAAACAAACAAAGACAAACAATCAATCAAACAAACGAAAATGCAATGATTGGGACAATGGAAACCTCTAATGGAACTCCTTTCTTCAAGTTGTCATGACGGTCACTAATTTGGATGGTTTCACAAGAGGACTGGACGAATTCATGAAGAAGAAGGCTATCCTAGCGATGCTAGTCACTGGGGAACATGGGATGCAGAATACTGTTGCACACCTACCCTATTCATATGTTTGCTTTGAGCAGCTGGTCGGCCGCTGGGGGAGCAGAATGCTGGACTGGAAGGATGCCTGGCCTGACCCAGCAGGGCTCTTCCTGCGCTCTCATGCTCACAGATGCCACCTTGGCTCACAAAGACAGTGCTGGAGGGGTGGATGCAGAGAATACCTTTGTGTGCCATGAGGTAGCTCACCATGAAAGCACAGCAGCACATTGGCAGTGCAAAAGAAACCCTCCGCAATGACATTTATGGACTTTTCCCCACTCTCAGCCTGCAGGTGAGAATAAACAGACATTGATGCCTATATAGCGGCAAGAACATCGGGTTGGTTTCAGGTCTGGCCCTATTTAAACCTATTTGCTTTGATGATCCAAGGTCATTCAGGAGCATCAGGAAATACTGTGGGCTTCTGTGCTGTGCTGTGCTGTGCTGTGCTGTGCTGTGCTATGCTATGCTATGCTATGCTATGCTATGCTATGCTATGCTATGCTATGAAGCTGAGCTGAGCTGCCTCTATTCTTGGATGGGCTCCTGCAAGGAAACAGACATCCTTGCTTACTCCACTTCATTGTCAGCATTCATGAAAAGGACCTGACTTCCAGGAATTGAGATGCTGAGCTATGTTGGCATCATATCTGTATGCTTAACCACCTGGGGTAATCACAGATATCAATGTAGAGAATCTGCCAAGAAAGCCCATGCTCCAAAGATAGTTCCAAAAGAAAGCTAACTCCTAGCAATCAGAGTTTTAAAATGAAAGGGAAGAGACGTTTGTGTTGATACTGCTGCTGCTTTCACAGGGCTTTGGTAAAGCAAGTTGGATAGGAAGTTGGATATAGAAATCAGTTTTGCATTTCTCCAATTTAAATTTCATTCTTCCTGAGCTTTGAGGATTTAAGATAATGAAATCTGGTGGCCATTTTCCCTAATATGCACATGTTTTGCAAATGCATTCTTTCTCTGCGTATGTGCATATGCATGTTTGACTAACAAATTTGATGGGGAGCACCACTGCAAAACTTGGGAACTGCAAATTTTGAAAGCTAACTGAGTTTCAGCTGACTTGTTATGAGCCATTAAGTCATCTCCGACTTATGGCAAGCCTTTGAATGAAAGCATTCAATGACAGCCCTGCTTAGCTATTCTCAGCTGATTTAGTGGCTAAATTTTTAAATTAAGAGAGACTGCATTAAAGTGTGAACTGAATGGTTTTTTTCTCTACCCCTCTGGGTTAGATGACGTAACATCAGCCTTGTGCAGAGAATATCTACTGCCATCAAGTGAATGAGAGAAAGAAAACCAGGTGGTGTGGACTACTTCGATATTGGAGGTCTGCTATTTACAGTTTGCTCATTTGGAAAAATATTAATAAAACCATTCAACACTTGCAGCCTCTTCTTAAACAACAACACTGCTTGAAAAGCAATGTTATGGGTTAATTAAATTAATGAGAAAGAAAATCATTAATAACTGAGTGAAAGCTGCCATCACCATGGAAACCAAGACTGGCAATTCATCTTAGGAAACTCAAACTGTATTTGAAGAAAAGCTCTGAAAGGTTCATCCATGTATTAAAAACAGAAACAAAACAGATGCACAGAAAGGCTGGAAATAACTGGGACTGCTCACTCCAGCAGAGAAAAGAGGGTTTCTTCTGCGCAATGTTCAGAAATGACCAATGAGCAGGAATCAGTCCTGCTTTGCAGCTCAACCTGTGGAATGCCAGTAGTGAGGTTAACATAATGGATGGCATGCTTTGCTTCGAGTAAGAAGGATGATACAGCCTGTGGGCCTGGGCAGTCTCATTTTCCCCAGCTCTTCCCCTACCCTATCCCCTTGTCAGACCCAATATTTGGCAGTTTGCTTTCTGCTCTCCCAACTTTTGTGCAGTGCCCACGGCCCTCCCTCTAATAGCCTGAAATGTCTTTTGTAAGATTTAGCGACTGGAAGTCAGACTATGAAGCTAAAATATATTCATAGTTTGGAGGAGTTTGAGCATGCAAGTTTTACCGTTCACTCCATCCACCACTGCCATGCACCTTTCCCCGAAGAGTTGCTCCAAAATTGAGTGCATCGCTAGGGTCTTGCGGGCATGAGTAAGCACTCCCATTCACTTGCAAAAACTGAGGCTGCAGCCTGGTGATTTCGGCCTGTCACAACAGCTGCTATTTGCAGTTTTAGAAAGTAGCATGTAATGTTCAGCTGTGCCTTAAGGATTGCATGTGGCTGGGTCATATAAACTGGACTTCATTCTATCATAGAACCATAGAATAGTGGAGTTGGAAGGGGCCACGTAGGCCATCAGGTCCAACCCCCTGCTGTTGCAGGACACCACGTTACACCTTCCTACTTGGATGGCTGTCCAGTTTCATCCTGAATGGCTCCAGTGTGGGAGAGCCCACCACCAATCTAGGCAGCTGGTTCGACAGTCGCATTGCTCTGACAGTGAGGAAGCTTTTCCTGATGTCCAGCCTGAATCTGGGTTGTTGCAACTTGAATTGATTATTCCATGTCCTGCACTCTGGCATCAGCAAGAAGAGATCTCGGCCTTCATCTTTGTGACCGCCTTTGGGGTACTTATAGAGGGATATCATGCCCCCCACCCCCAGTCTCCTCAAGGCTGAACATGCCCAGTTCTCTCAGGCTCTCCTCATAGGGCAGTTTTTCCAAATTCTGGATCATTTCTGTCGCCCTCCTCTGAACCCTTTCTAATTCACCTGCATCTTTCTTCAGTCTTGGTGCCCAGAACTGGACACAGTACTCCTGGTGAAATCTGACTAGTGAGGAGCATAGGGCATGGGTCCTCAAACTAAGGCCCTCCAGGCCGATTTAACTGGCCTGCCCCAGAGGTTTTGCACTCGCCGTGCACGTGCGTAGAAAACGACTTGCTAGGAGAAAATGATCTCCTTGTGAGCAAGCCGGCGCCTCGTCCCCCCGCACGCCCCCCACCTCACCTCACATGGGCACTCTGCCCCCCTCACCAGCCCGCGCTCTCCTGCCAGCACCGCCTTGGTGGCCCGTGCGCACTGCCGGCACCTGTAAACTGGCCCCTGTTGAAAAAGTGTGAGGAACCCTGGTATAGAAGAACTACCAGTTCTCATGATTTGGAAGTAACACTTCTGTTAATGCGTCCCATAATAATATTTGCCCTTTTGGTGGCTGCATCACATCGGTGGTTCATATTTAGCCTATTGTCCACAATTACTTGGAGAACTTTCTATTTTTCTTTTCTTCCCTCATTAGTGGCCCATTTTCAGAAGCTCCTGCCAGAGGCTATAAGAAGGGGGCCCATTCCTCCATGGCATCCCAAATGTGGAATTGGCTTCTGAGAAAGGCTCACCTGGTAACAGGCAAAGACCATCTCATTTTCCCTGGAACTGTAATCATTTAGTTCCTGTTGCTTTTAATACTGTATTTACTTATTTATTATATTTACATGGCACCTTTTTTCCTTTCAAAGAACTCAGGACAACTGACATAACTATCCTCTTCTTCTCAGTCTTATCCTCACAACAGCAACACTGTGAGGTAGGCTGGGCTGAGAGTCTGTGCCTTAACCTAAGTCACCCAGTAAGACCCATGCAAAGTATAGACTAGAACCCAGATCATGAGTGCCAGGCCAACAGACCTGGTCTCCAGAGCCTAGAACCTTTCCTACTGGCCTTCCCAGATGTTAGAGCCTATCCTATCACCCACCACTCCAGATGCAAATGATGCACTAAATTCAGAGGGTTAACAGCTGTGTTCTCCTCTCCCTGTCCCATAGCACATCCCTTTTTCTTACCCCATTCCCATGAAATCCCAGTTTTAAAGGGCAGGGAGGGGCATCTTGTCTGCTGAAACAGGAACCCTGAGTTCACAAGACCCTAGTGCTAGAACACCAAAATATCCTATGGCCCCCAGAGGATTTCACGAGGCCACAGGATTATGCCTTTACTGTGCTTTAAAAATGTGCACTGCTCCAGGGTTTTATTTCAATTTCTGCATTCACTTTATACTGTAGTTCCAAGCATTTGACCTTCTCTATTGTATCCTATGTTGTATTTGTGGTTTCAGTTGTTCCGAACTGCCCAGAATGCTTTGGCTCTAGGGCAATATAGAAATGCAAGAAATTCATCAAATGCATCACAGCAACAAGGAAGCACTAAAATAATTAGAGACATTACTTACAGGAATAGTAGGATGCGGTGTAATCAAAGAAGTCTGGAAAGGGAACGAAGGGAAAAGAAAGGTCATTTCAGTTTTTTAAAAGTACACAGTCATCCTGAAATTATGATGGCAATCAATGAATTATAATGCACAGTCTCTTTTCTCTTTTTATATTGTCTCATTGCTCAAAAAACCCACATAAACCAAGAAAGGAGATCAGCCAATGATCTCATGAAAGTTTGCAAAATAAGGGATACAAACGGTGTGCCACAATTACAAAATGATTAATGTGGTCTCTAAATAACAGAAAAAACAATTAAATAGGACTGGGACATTTGCTTTTGCTATCCCCAGTGGGATCTGTGCAAGAACATCCTAAGGGAGGATTAGCTTTTCTCTTCCATGTGCAGAAATTCTGCTTTGAGCCACTTAGTAGCTTTTCTTTGCACATGCACACGGTCCCATTCCAGGGGATACACATAGAGAGAGGGAGGGAGGGAGAAATGCACACTGTGGGATACTATTATTATTACTTCTATTGTTGTTGTTTTTAATTTGCATTTATATGCCAACTTTTTCCTCTTGTGAAGAGCCCAAGGCAGCCCCAGCCCAAACTCCCCCAGGGAGCTTCCTGGCCTGGTGGGGTCTAGGCCAGGTCCCCAGTCCAACACTCCAGTCCCGACACCACACTGGCTGTCATTTAGATATGCCATCCATCAATTCCTGCAATCCTAAACGATCACAGAAATTGCTGCTAGCTCGTAAATTGGATTTGTCAAGACAAGAGCTCCATCAGTTCACAGCCCCTAACTTTTGACAACCACTTATCTCAGCTTAGCACAAGACCTGATTACTTCTTCCTCTGTGCTGAACTGAGATAAAAAGATGGCAACAATTGAAGGGTATGAACTGACAAAGTTCTCATTATGACAAATAAAACATATAAACTAGGGATTCTTTGCAAGATTAAAATTATACATTTTCCCTACATTTATTTCCTGCTTTCCTCCTTTCCGCTTCCTCCTTTCTCCACTTTTCTATTTGATATTCTATGTAAAGCTTGTGCAGAAAGACACAGCCAGGCTGCAATGAGATTTTCCTCCTTCCAGACCAGGAAGGAGGAAATATGCTCCAAGGAATATGATCCCAAGCTATAAGCTACATTATGTTTTTAACTTGTTTTAACCCTCTTGGCAAAGTTTCTGCTTTTAGGTTCTTTGTAGGATTAAGTTCAGAACTTTCATACATTGTTTTCCACAGGATTTTGCTTTCTCTATCTTTCTAAATGTTCCATGGCACAGCCACTAGGTGGTGCTGCAGTACGGCAGGATTGCAAAGATACACAACCATTCTGTAGCATTTTATAGCGTGCCACCCCTTTAGTAGCTCCTATTTTGCAAAACAACAGCAAGAACAACAACAACAACAACAGTGTACTTGGAAAGGGCACCATCATCCTGTAAAGCACCCACAATCAACAGCAGGTGTTGCATCATGGGAGCACAATAAATAGCTCATGGATAGCTTAGTGATGCTGTCCTTCAATATTGCATTACTGAAGATGCACTGTGAGCCTTACAGAACACTGGTGCTCCTCTTCACCCACATATGTAGGTCCTAACTCCCTTTACAGCCCACATAATAACCCCCACCACACTCCTAATGCCAAGTTACTTACTGTTCCTGGTAAGCCGGGAAGACCAGGAGCACCGACATCACCCTACAACAGTAACATGGGGGTGTTGGGGAGGTCAGAGATAAAAGCAGGAAATGATCACTCTATACATCACCCATACCTATGGGGTCCAACTACCCTAAACAAGCTGTTCTGACAAAAATTCTCAGGACCACACTTGATGTGTTGGATCACATGATTAGGCCCCCCGTGATTCACGATTGCTTAAAGGGGGGGTGGGGGAATGAATAAAAGCAGGACCAAAGGAAGCTTTCCTCCTTGAACACGTAGTACAAGTTGGGCTCCCAATGTGTAACACAACATCAGAAGGGTCAAATGATTTATCTGGTTCCTCCCCACCCTAAACATACAACTGATTTCTTTCTTTCTTTCTTTCTTTCTTTCTTTCTTTCTTTCTTTCTTTCTGTCAATATCCATCACTCAAGTACTTGTGATGTGCTTAATGTCATATCTAGCAGGTGATCTACACTGATTATTCCAGGTAGTCAAGGGCACAGAACCACATGGGCATAAAGACATGGTGTGCAGGTATCAGTTAACCTCAAGCACATCACAGTTTTTCAAATCCCACCATGAAACTTGTTGCAGTCACCTCTGTATCAAATTGTGCATTTCATTGTGCATTTCAAATTGTGCATTTTCACAAGAAAATGTGGTCACCTTTTCCAGATAAATGCATCATTTTTTTCAAATACACACTTTTTTTCTCATTACTGAAAGCAAACATTTTTCAGAGCTAAGTGCTCTTTCATTGGCATATTTCAAATGGACATATTTCCCCCAATTACTACTACTACTATTACTATTACTTTCTTTTTGTTTTTCTTCTGGGACTATCAGCGCAAAGGCAGAATCCAGGGGAAAACATCTGCCCTGCCCTTTCTTAGTAAATTCTGAACCATAATAAAAGTCTCAGACATCTCATGCCCAATAAGCATCTCTGCAGATGTGTTTTACGCTAAAATCTAAATGGCTCAACATGCTACACAATAATAGATGAACTAATATAAATTCAACACACATGAGCAACCTTAAAATCCCACACACTCCTGCCCTCATATTTCCTGAGAAGCTGTTTTCCCTCTGCTTTCTGTGTTCTACTTTATGTCCCGGGAATGAAACTGCCATAAAATCCAATCTCTTTCTAACCCTTAAAAGAAACAAAAACACCATAACGCAGTGCTGAGGAATGACTGCCTGGAGACAGCCTTGTTTGGCTGCATTGCTCCTGGCGTCGGCTTGAGCTCTGCTCAGGGCTGTTCCCAAGACAATCATCTCAGATTTTAATTTTTATCCACAAATGCCCACCGGAATGATGTTACTTCATGACATGGCAGGTGGGCCCAGATTTCAGAGCTAGTGCCGCTGGGCTGCTGAGGGCAACCAGCTGCTGTATGAAGCAGCAGCCTCGTTGCTGCTGCTCATGAAACAGGGGAAAGAAAAGAGAAAGAAATCACGGCTGCCTTGTCTTCGAAAGGAGGCCCACTTCCCTCTGAAATGTCTTCCAGTGTGCCAGTCCTCTTAAAGCCATTCTCCAACTTTTGCTGCTGATCAACAATTTCACAAAGGGTTGGAGGAACAATATTTGGCCCAGCTAAAAGTTGATGTGGTCATTTAATTTTTCCATTTTCTGACAGTGCAATCCTATACATGTCTCCTCAAAAGTAAGACCAGTTTAGAAACATAGAAACAGAGTGAGTCAGAAGGGGTCTCCCAGGCCATCTAGTCTGACCCCCAGCTCCAGCCAGCTCTGCTCACGACATGCCCACCATGGGCATGTCTAGCCTATCCTTGAACATGCTCACCGATGGGACACCAACCACCTCCTGTGGAAGTCCATTCCATACCCTTGGGGTCCTGACTGTTAGGAAGTACTTCCTGGCATCCAAACTGAACCTTGGTTCCCTGAGCTTGGCTCCATTGGAACGTGTTCTGCCTCCCACTGCAGGGAAGAACTTAGTTCAAGAGGATTCCCTCTGAAGTGCATAAATGTAGGGTTCTCATTCTTACATTGCATTTATAGCTTGCCCTTTTCATATCTTGCAAGGGAATCTTGGTGGCTTGCTTAGTTCTCAACAACAAGCAGCCTGTGAGACAGGCTGAGCTGAGATTCATGGCTTAAAGGTTGACTGGGGACTAGAGACTGGATCGCCCTGGTCCCCAGCCCAATGCTGTAATCACCACACCACACAGGTTGTCCAACATTTCTGCCATGTTTAGAGGTACTTTGTCAGCTACCTTAAGGCTCTCCTGTGATCTCTCTGTGTGGGTCATTTACTTATGCATATGGGAGTGTATGGGAGATAGACTTACCTTGTCCCCTCTTTCACCTTTGAGGCCATGGAGTCCAGCTCTTCCCTTTTCACCCTGCAAGGCACAGAACAAACACAGGCGCTTTCTGATCACACTGGGCAGCACCCTGAGGGTTTGCTGGTACACTAACAGTGGCCAATCAAACTAGAATTTATCAGGAAATACCCCTGGCTGTAGTGCAGTGCAGTGCAAGCAATTCTCAGATAACCACAGTGCTTTTTTTGTCATAGAACGCACTGGAACAGAGTTCCTGCACCTTTTTTCGACAGATTTTCCATGTTTTAAAAGTAACTGTTGAAAATTTGATGTTTGGTCCATGTGGATTTGAATTGCCCTGTCGAACGTAGCAGGTCGGTGGCAAAATCATTAAAACGGTGCATGCGAGCCGCTTGTGTGTCGAATCTGATGCATGCGTACTTTGTCTGCGCTGGTTGTGAGGGCGCTGCTCAGCTTGTGGTGCTGCTCAGCTTGTGACTGGTCGTGTGGTCACACGTTGAGTGCTTTCTGCGGGTGGCAACTGTTATGTTTCATTACACAACTGACGTGTGTGGGTGCGTGTACAGTGATTGACTATGTGCGAAAGGTAAATAATTTCATGAGTTCCGGCACCCATTTTCTTACAAAAAAAGCACTGGATAACCCCAACCATGGACAAGCATTGTTTGAGTCTACCAAAGGTCCAGCGAATTTATAGTAAAAGTCTTAAGCCCTGTAAGCAAGCACCCACGAACGACATACCTGGTCTCCTTTTTCTCCTCTTAGTCCTGGCAGCCCTGGGGACCCTGGAAGTCCAGCTTCACCCTAAGGCAAGAAGAAAGGAAGAAAAATTCAGAATAGAACGTTTTCTGAGGACACTAAAGTGCTTTTTGCAAAGCTTCCATTTTTGGCACCCCTTCCAACTGGGGAAATGCCACTCTGCAGTCCATAGGTCTCACATTTAGCCTCTGGATAAGTTCTGCGCAAGTTCTAGTTAAAACTACTGGAGACAGAAATGACTATGGGTCCATATGGCTGAACTGGTAAGCTAGTTCAAAGCCCTTCTTGTTTCATTGAAACACCTATCAAGGTTGACTTTCAGGCAGGCCCTATCTTGATCATGGTTGTTTCCGAAAATTTTGGCCAAATTGGTCCGTGTTGCTCCTCTGGTCTGGAGGGTTTTGCTCTGAGCAGGATACTCACGCTTTCCCCCACAAGGCCGGGTAAGCCAGGCTGTCCTGTTTCACCCTGAAAGAGCAAACACAACACCGTGCTTTTACAATTTCAACTGCTATTGGAAACAAGTGCCAACATCAGTTATTTCTTGAAATTCTATGCCGCCTTTTCATGAAAGCTACCAGGGAATAAGTATGAAGACTACACTCAGTTCCTCCCATTCTCTGTTCAGGAATCCTTGCAGAAATACCTTGTATGGAGACCAGCCTTTATCTCCACCGACCACCCTCCTTCCAAACAGAGCAAGACAGGAAGCTTATGACTGCAGCCTTTATTATGTTAATATTATCCCACTTGGCTGGCTTTGTGATACAAGGGGAGTTTCTGCAGAAGACATCCACAAAAAGTGAAGTTAGAATACCAGCTATTAGGGAAATACAGCTACTAGCTTTGCAGGAGGGCTTCCTCCTTCACCAGAGGTGGAATGCTTGTGTACCGCAGTTGCTGAGGATCCTGGACAGGAGGCGGTCTTGCACCCCCACCCCCACCCCACTGGGGGATCCTGGGGCAGCTGGTTTGCCTCTGTGTGCAAGATGGACCTTGGGTCTGACCCAGCCTGGCTTTTCATAAGTTCTCTATATCTAGCGCCTTTCAAAGAGCTTCACATGCGCATCTAGTTATTAGAAATGAACTTTGAAGTTTTCAAAAGCTCCCCTTATACACACATACAAAGTAGGAATGAACTCTTATGCACCCATCCACCAGGGAGAATTGGATGATTTGCCAATATAACATAATGCAATTTTATCATAATTTTAATTTTCCCTTAAAGCATTTATTGCTAGACATTAGAAATGTTGGAGTACGTTTTATTTTATTGCTAACCCTCAGGACAATTCATTAAAATTATTCTGATGTGTTCCAATCAAAGGCACCAATGCACAAGCCATAAATTGCATATTAGAAATGAATTAAACGCATCAAACAAAAGAGGGGGAATTTCGAAGTGCCCCCCTCTCTCCGCATACCAGAACATCCTTTGTGTTTAACAATCTTCATTAGCTTTTGCACTATAGAAGGATAAAGGAAAATACAGTAGAACATCTGGGGAAGGGTTAGGAACTTTTGAGGAATTCGGGAGTGTTCGTAGATCCAGATAAGAATTGACCTGATCCCAAATCTCCCAGACCAATGGGCCAATTGGAATGCTGCTCTCCTCACCAAATTGTGTGATGCAGGCCTTGGATCAGAAAATGTATCCAAATGCATGTGCAAAGGTACTTTTTGAGAGAAAAATATATTTCGAGTGTAATCCCATGAAACTGGCCTTCTTCAGATGAAGGGCTTTGACATTGGGATCCTCTGCCCAGCCAGCCTGATCCAGGAAGCACTGGTAGAACCATGGAGGTGGAAATAGCTCCTGTTTTGAAGAACACCTGCACCTGGGCAGGCCCATCTACCTGATTAGCTCTAGATGAGCGGGAAGGGTGCTGGAAATGCTCTTCAGTCCATTGAATCCAGGCCTCTTCTTTCCCCTCCCCACCCCTTCCACCTTCCAGGGGCAGTTTTCTGCATCAGTTGGGACGGGGAAGACTCAAGCTCCTATTGTCTCCTTCATGCTCATAGTTCGCAAAAAAATGTGAGAGAAAATACTTTGAGAGATACTAATCTGGCCAGGGGAGGAATGGCCAGTTGTGAGAACATATGTTTAGAGATTCAAGAAGAACCTGGACAGCCCTCTGAGTGGGATGGTGTGACTTGGTGTCCTGCAACAGCAGGGGTTGGACTCAATGACCTTCATGGCCCCTTCCAACTCTTCTATTCCATGATTCTATGTTCCTCATCTGTATATAAATCTGCATTTAAACCCTCTTTTTCATGGACTTTTTTTTTTGTGGGGAGACACAAATTAAGGAATAAATGTGATGAAAATTCTTATCCATGTATATCTATACCACCCAATAACCAATACTTCTGGATGGTTTGCAACAATTCCTAAAATAAGTCTGCATTCACAGTGTAGCATCCATCTTGCTTGTGTACTTATGGATGGATGCATGTCTATAGCTCACCCGTGTTGGACTGGGCTAGGCAGAGAAATTGAGCACATATTGGGAGACACAGTTACACCCAAACCAGAGCTTTAAGGCTTCATAGTGGGGCAGGGGGCTCTGGATTAGGGTTGGGACAAACCCTTTTGGAATTCATCCCTCCAAAATCTACAGACCTCCTCTTCTGCTCATCCCAGTCCTGAAAATCAAAGCAAACCGAGAGGAAACATAGAAACAGAGCGAGTCAGAAGGGGCCTCCCGGGCCATCTAAACTGACCTCCAGCACCAGCTGGCTCCGCTCACAACATGCCCACCATGTGCATGTCCAGCCTATCTTTGAACACCTGTGAATGCAAGTCTGTGAATGCAACTGGCAGCCTTCAGCAGTTGTCATTCCCAGTGGTCAACCTTCTTCCCTTCTTGCTGGGGCAGCTCAAATTCTGAGGAGCTGCATGTGGACCCCGGGTGTCCTCACCAGAAACTTGGACACCAGGACACTTTGCAAGGTAGTCCATCTGGGAAGCCGAAACAAGGGAATGTGGCAGAATTTCTGCACAAGAAGGATTCCTCAAACATTCCTACTCTGCATGAAAGATTGCCTTACCTCCCACCCACAAAAAAACCCTACTTTTTAATGTAAAGGGGAAATATCTGACTCTCCTCTCCCCTGGTATAAGCTACCTCTGACTGAATCATAAGAGCAGAACAGATCAGTTTAAAAGTGTGGCTGACATTGGCTGTAAGAATCGTGGTTTTACCTTGGGTCCTGTCGTTCCAGGAAGCCCATCCACTCCCCTTTCCCCTCGATCTCCCTGAAAGACATTCAGACATGAGTTAGACAAAGAGACAGCTTTCATAGCATGAAACAATTGGCAGCAGGCAGGACGGGACGCAACACTAACATGGGAGTCAGAACATTGGGTGCAATTCTGTGCTGGGCTGGATGGAAAAGAAGCCCTGCAGTTCCCAGCTTCCCCTGCCAACATGCAGGTCCCCCTTGCCCTGCTGATGCCCCTCTTAACCTGCTTAGGACCATGGAAAAAGGGCTCCTGACCATTCTGAAAAGCAGAGAAGAGATCGTCTTCTTGGGGTGCAGTCCTGTCGGAATCTCCATAAGTGCCAAAACTCAGAGGATTAGGTACACCCAGTGCAAAATGGAAGCAGGGGCAGGGCTGACTTTGCATTTTTGCTCAGTGGCATTTTTCCCGGTGTTGCCTAAGCAGCTTGGAAGGGAAGGGAGGCTGGAGTGATTGCAGGATACCTGGGATCCTGACTTCCTCCGACCAGCTTTTATTCCTTTCTGAGGTCACTTCCCCAGTTTTGGATAGCAACTGGGAGGGGTCTTTCCTTGCCAGCTGTGAGCGGGCAGGAGAGGAGCAGAGCTCCAATTCCCAGCTCCAAGATCAGAGGGCTGTCTCCTACATCAGACCTGGGGATCCAGTAGGATCCTACCTGCCCTCTCCCACAGGATTGCTCCCTCTGGCCTTCTTAGTTATATTTATTGACAGAGCAAAGATTTGCGTGATTGCCAATATATTTAGAACATATATAATCTTTCCAAGATGGCAACTTTGTCTGTTCTCAAACAGAAATCACATTCAGTGCAAACAGAAGCCTGACTTCTTATAATATTGGGCTTGTTCCATTCCTTAAATAATAAAAGAAGTTCACACCAGTAATGCTGCCTTTGTGTCCATATTCCCCACTTACTAATACTGCTCTGCAAATATTTCTGGCCCTTATAAAGGGTAATTTCAACCCCCAAATGGGCTCAAAATCTAGAAGTACAGCCAGGCAAAGAAAGAAGATGGGCTTGAGCTAGGGATGTCTCCATTTATGTTCACCCATTCAAACATGCCACATTTAAAACCCCACATATGGACATGTTGAAGGATCTCTGAAATGTGGATCCCAAACATGAATATGAAGAAGAGAATATTTGGAAAACATTCACAAATTCTTGCCCATACATTCATATGTTCAGAAACAACGTACATTTCAAAACATTTTTAAAGGTGAGTTCAGTTTTAAAATTATTGTGCATTTCCACAATACAGACTATGGGGTGCAGTGTACACCTTTGCAAAACCTGCAATTCTTATGTGCATTTTTCCTACTGAGTTTGCACAATTCCCCATTCATCACGAAGGAGGGCAGCGAATGAGGAGAGAGTAACATCAGGCTGATGGATGCAGAACGGGTGTGAACGCCAGCATTGCTTGGTTCATGCATCCCTGGACTGAGAGCATCTTGCGATTGACAAGGTGCTGACTCTTCCATCAGCAGGGCTCCTTATCCATTGCACCTTTTATTTTGATCTTCACAGGAGGTCTCTCTGGGGCTGAACTTCATCACTTAAAGAGATGTACCAGCACCATGGACCACTTCTTTAATGCTCAAAGTAAAAGCTGGAATAGATGAGGAGCCCCATTTCTAGAATAGTCACCAGGTTCCTCTGCTGATTGAATGGTGAGATCAGCATTATCTTGATAAATAGTAAGGATACCGACCTTTTTGCCAGGAAGCCCAGGCAAGCCATCCAGTCCAGATTTTCCAGGTAAGCCCTACGCAAAAGTGAAACAAAACCAAAATAAGTCTGGGGCTAAGCATGGTTTGGCTTACTCTATTCAAGATGACCTACATCTTCCACATGATTGGAAGACATATACCCAGTCACTTCAACCCAGTTCCACTGAAGTGAAAGAAGCAGTGCATTCATCACGCAGCACTCCAAGCCCATCTCATCATTATTCCATGTTCCACGTGCTCATCTCCCTGGCTGGTGGACATGATGAGAGTCCTCATGGCCCACGTTCAGGTAACACCAATGGGTGTCTTCAAATTTAGCCTTGGAAATAGCTGGTGATCCTTGAAGTTTTCCCAAGAATAACTCACTGCCAGAGCAGCTGCCACCCCACTGAAGACAGAATATCCCTTCTGCCCAACAACAGGAAAGCTCTCCCATTGGGCAGATAGCACAACAGCGTTCTGTTTGGCCAGGTGAAGAGATGGAGGTGTGAGCAGGTGTGGTGGCATGTCCAAGCAATCGAGGTAGTCCTTCTCTTGACCAAAGTCGCTCATCTTCCACAGGGATGGGACCAGGGCAAGGCCGTGAGCATGCATTAGGCACAGATCAAGGGGACTGGATGATAACCCAGAAGGAGAGAGAGGGAAGGACAGCCACCAAGACAGACAGACAGAACGAGAGAGCCAGGAAGAGAGGATAATGCTTCTTCTCTCAGTCCTGGAGCCCAAGAAAGCAACACTGGAAGAGGTGGAAGGACATGCTATGGACACAGGCACAAAATGAGCTGAATTAGGGGACATCAGCATAGATGAGTTCCGATTCTATTCCTAACAGGGCATGTCCAATCCAAAGAACAAGCAGAAAAGGCAAAAACTCACAGAGGACTTCAGGGTGGATAATGCTAGCTGAGAGTTTAGAGGAGCAGTAAGGATCTCTGGGAGAAAAATGCACTAATCCAAAGTCTAGATCCAAAGCAAACTGGAACAAAAACTTTTGGATGACCCATGGGCAGGACTTCTTTCAGGTCAAGGCCAAATCTGATTCTGGGGAAGCTTTCGGGGCCATATTTTAGTGGAACCAAAGGCAAAAAGTGGGACGAATAACCCAAATACCAGCATATTGCAGCTTAACACTCTGGAGATAGCAAGCAAGCTTCTATCTTTTGGAATAGAGAAGAAACTGCAGAAATGCCAAGAAAGCGCCACATGAGTGTTGTTTGGGGATAAGGGAGGTGCCCATTTGGGGGTCTCTACAGGGCCAGGTAGGCTCCAGGAGGTCCAGATTTGCCCAGCAGGTCTGAAGGTCAATACAGGCACACCCTGCCATCTGCAATGGGGCCAGATAAGCCTCCCATGGCAGAATCCCCAAGCCCTATATCATGACATGTTTCAAGAGTATTCAGTTTCACATTTACAAACACACCAATGAATGGCAGCAGCTAGCACACAAATACTGGGAATGGTGGCCAGTTGGTTGAAGAGAGTTCAAAGAAGGAGGGAGGTGGTGCCATTAATACTTGTGTGCTTGGATAGATATACTCATGTGCATGAGACAGAGAAAGAGAAGGAGGCAGAAAAGGTGTTGTGTGAATGAAGTATCTCAGTAATGTGGGTGCGCACGCATGAAATAGAGAGAGAAAATGGGGAAATAGACACAGAAAAGGAATTGCAAATTAAAACAGACACATCAGTGATCCATGCATCCATCCATGCATCCATCCATCCCAAGGGTTTTTACTTATACTCATGATCTATTTCCCCTGTTGATGTCCTGCTCAACCACCAAACTATCCTTTGTACCAACACTTAAAAACAAAAAGCTGATGGCAAGAAATACAGTGAGAGCAAACAATCAGCCACCACAATGAAAAATAAGCATGAAATAGTATTGTAGATGATATCTAACTCCATTAATGAACCAACAAGCTATGAGACGCATGACACTTTTTGAACATTCACTCTGGGCCACATCAATCCCAGCATCAAAACATGGCAACAATAGGTTTTAATGTAGCAGTTTCAGAAATGACCACCAGATGTCAGCAATGCCAAAAAAATAGTTCCATAGGCAGAAGTAAAATTAAAATTATCGTTCAAGGCTAGTTGCACAAGAAGGGTGCTTAGGACAAAATTCTACACTTGTTTAAACAGAGAAAAATGCTGCAACATCCCACAAGCCTCTCTGGGAATACCAAGAGTTGCAGGACTTTAGGGTTGTGCCTTTAAACAAAGATGCTTTTGGGCAAGTTCTTGCTGTCAGTAGAGGAGCGTGGAATTCCCACTACATATTACATAAGGGGGAAAGTGTAAAGCTAATTTGAAGGAATGTAATCTCTCATGTGTGGAATGTCCCACAGCCATAGGAGTTACCTGCCCTCCCCCAATTCAAGACAAAAATGCAGGTTTTAAAAAGGCTGAAGGCCACGTCTATGAAGCTCACTCCATGCAAGATACATGGCAAAGGACATTAGCATCACAGAGTCACAGGTTGTCCATAAGGTCCAGCTTGTCCAAATGGCCATTCTCCTCCCCTGGCCCCACCCCATTTCCCTAGCCATCACTCATTTCTTGGTCTGCCAGTGACTGGGTGGCTTGTTCCACATTCTAAAAGGTCCAAAGACTCCTCAGGCGGAGATGCTGACAGTCGCTGCTTTGAGCTGTAATGAACTGGCGTGTTTTGCATTTCCTGTATTTTGGAGCCCCTGTTCTGTCTCCATCACGTTGACTTCATGTCAACCCAGCACTGGAACGACCCTGTGAAGAGCATCTCTGAAACTAAAGTCAGCCCTCAGGCAGAGAGGTGTCCCACCCCTTGGCTAGTGGCACAGAAAGGGCCTCCCACGTCCGTCCATGCTCCTCACCCGAGAACACTGACATTGTGAAACGGTGCAGACGTGCCACAGCTGCATGGTAGTGGATGCCCCATTCCATGCCTGCATGACTGCATAACCTGTACACAATCCATTCGCGCACACACACACAATTGTTGGCCTAACTTCATGATAGGCGCTGGCTTATTTTAGGTTTCTGCCCCAAGTCCTGAATACATCCACAATTAAATTTCTGTCATGCAGACACGAAGCCCTGAAGCAACTTACAGGAGGTCCCGGCTGCCCGTTTCTGCCAAGTTCTCCTGGTGGCCCCTAGAACAGAAAGGAGCAAACAAAATGATCCGCGTGTGCTTTCTGCATACTGGCCTTTGCAGGGCAAGAGCTTGTGTAGTGCAGAGTTGGGCATGGCCAGCCTAAGATATTTTGCAGCCTGAGGAGAAGCTCAGCACACGCCCTCCTCCTGTAAGGAAGGCAATCGGACAGGGAGATGACTGGCACTTGGACAACATCTTCCAGCAAAACTCAGGGGAGCATCCTGGCTTCAGGGGTGTGGGGCAGGCAATGTGACTCAGGCAGTGATGTGTTCCGACAGCCAGAGGGCGCAGGCGCTCAGGAGCCATGGCTGGGAGGCTGCCACCAGAGGGAGGGGCATCCTACCTAGGCCATTAGCTGCAGGGGTCCCGTTTCCTTTCTTCCTTTAGCCAAGTCCTGCTATTTTAGCCCTGCTATTGCTACTGCTCTGTGGTGCTTACCAGCACACTGATCCGGAGAAACCCAGCGCTCCTCACTCCCCAACTCAACAGAACATATCACTGCCGAAAAGGCAGTGACCTACACAGGGGTGGGGAACAGTGATTCCTATAGTAGCTACGGAGCACCTAAAGTGGCACAATGTTGGTTCAAGCTGGTTTTGTTTTTGTTTTTTGATGTTGTGCAGCTTCAGGGCAGGCTGGCCCAAAAGGGGGGACTCCAAGGGGCAATATCTTTCCCCCAGACTTCCCAAATCTGCCTACCTTTTTAATCTATACTCTGATAATGCATCCACTAAGCACACTTCTTCTGCCTTGCCAGTAGCAGCTATTTAGTATCTCTGCAAAGAGTTATTTTCCTGTTTGAGCTGGAAAAATTCAAATGGCTCTTCTCTCCAGGCTGATTAACATGCAGTGCAAACCTGAGGGGGAGCTGCACTTCGCAGTCTCCCCTAAAGGGCATGGAAAAATTATCTATGCACTTCCTTTGCTGCCATTCATTTCAGGGGTAGGCAATCCTACAGGACTGAGTCACTTTGGTCAGTTCTAATCCGACCCCTGTAATGGCATGCAGAAATCTGTCACCTGAGATAACCTCAGAATCGGGGCATGGTTGTATCTGCCGTGAAGGAAAGAAGATCTTGTGTTGTCTACCATTGCTAATGTCAACTTTTTATGAAAGAAACTTTCTTACTGGGGGTCCAGCAAGCCCAGGAGGCCCGGCAACTCCAGGTGATCCAGGGGGACCCTGTGAAAAAAAGAGAAAAGAGTTACTGAAAAAAGTAGGAATGTTATCAGCATAGCTCCTCTCCACTCATAAGAGACCTTCCTATTCCTCTAAAATCTATTAGAGGGAGGAAATTTAAGAAATACAGCTTTTTCCAATCATGGTATCTCCATGTTAAGACAAGTTCCATCTCTAGAGTGTCTTCTTTGAATGGCTTGCTTTTCCAGGGGAAGAAGCGGCAACCTACAGAAGGTAAAAATATTGCGTCCTCCTCTGGAGATGGGGATGGAGAGGAGACGTGAACACAACAGCCACAAACAAGCTTTATTGTGTTCAGTTCCATCTGAAGAAGAAAAGAAGACTCAACAGAGCCATATTAAAAATGTTTTAATAAATAAATAAATAAATAAATTTCATCTGTCCCAAAGAATCCATGGTCAACACAGGGACACTGGGTTCTAACTTCCATCCCACAGTGACAATATGTCTGTGCAAATAGATGTTGCTCCACAGATGTGTAATAGCTGCAGAGAGGCGCCAATGGTAAGATGCTTTAAAAACTTCTGCCAAAAGAGGGTGCAGAGGGACAAGAAATCAGAACAAAATCAGTATATATAATGGAAGAAAAATTGTTCTCTATCTATCTATCTATCTATCTATCTATCTATCTATCTATCTATCTAAGTCCATTACTTGCATGTAGGGCTAATACAGTGTGGAAAATAGGAGACTGCATTCAAATTGCCATGAATTTAACCTAATGGAAATTCTGAGGGAATTTAAAGTAGCACTCATAGAAAGCATTGGTGAAATGCATTGGTGAAACTGAGCCATTCATAGAGAAGGAGGCTATCAAGGGCTACTTGTTATGATGGCTATGGATGACCTCCAGGAACTGAGCACTATGCCTCTGTATCCCTGTGGCTGGAGAATATCAGTGGGAGTGTCTACTCCACTCCAATCCGATTTGTGGACTTCTTGAAGGCATTGGGCCAGGACCTTAAAGGGCCAGAGAGTGCTGGTCTAGGTAAGGAGACTTTGAAGATTCCTTGAAGTGCTGTGCCTCATGTGAAAGGGAACGGTATATGGAAGGATGCTCCAGGAATGCAGCTCTCCTCCTGCCTCTAACATCCACAGGTGAGGTATGAAGATCCACGAAGGAAGTAGTGTGCCTATAGATCTCAACATGCAGAGGCTTTCTTCCCATGCTCGTTTCCAATCACCCTTTGCAGGCCTGGACAAGGGGCAAGACCCTCAGCACCACTTAAGCTCAAGGTGGGGCCAGAGGAACAGCTGTGGATCTTGGCTCCACGAAGGTTTGCTCTCCATGGGATGCATTGTGAAGATGTCTTCTGACATCAGTGCCTCTGAGCATGACTTCTAAGTAGACATGGGCAGGATTGGACAGCAAAGCATTCATCCTGTGCAATCTTACTTGGGAGTAAGCTTTACTTCAGACATCTAGGAAATCGGATGGAGAGGAGGAAATCCCTGGATCTTATGCTGACCTTGACTCACTCAACCCAGCTTGGAAACATCTGTCTGTCTCAAAGAAGAATCATTATTTATATTTTTTTAAAAATGTAAGTTTTGAAAAAAAACTGCTAACAAAATGTAAGCAAATAAGCACCGTAAGGCCATGTGGCTTTGGTTCAGTGTGTGCAGACTTAGCCAATTTGCACAAATCGGCCAATTCTGCACAAATTATGGTTTCTGGGAGCTTATTTGTGCAAAGTTTGTTAGCAGTTAAAATATGCAGAAATCATGGTCCATCTGATAGATGGGGGAGTAAAAAACTCTGACTCGGTCTGCTTCCAGTCATTGGACTAGAAGTGGGCAGTCAACATTAATTCTGATTTCTCTGTTTCAATACGGCCCTACCTGGGGACCTTACTTCCAAATAAACAAACACAGGGCCAGGCTGTAAATCTCAGAGAGACCTGCCACAAATATGCATTTCAAAAACACTCCTTCTAATTCCATTTGTATCCCATGAAATGCATCCGTCTTGAATACAATTATTTATTTTGAAATATGCTTTGCCTCACTGGGGACTTTGCACGGAAATAACTGTGTTAGATTTGTGAAGTGCTTGGATTCTTAAGCTAATTGGAAAATGCAGCAAAATGCAAGAGCTATTGTCTACTGAAAACTGGCCTCGAACACTAATATGTGGGAAATTACAGGAAAATGCCAAATGTTTGGCCATCACATAGCAAAGGCCCAAAGGAGCCATCCCTTTTGCCTGTTTTTATGTATTTGTTAAAAGCTTTTCTATCCCATCCACCACTGGTGTCTTGGGGTGGCTTTCACTAAGAACAAGTAGAATAAAACAAAACACCACAGAAAGCTTGCTTTATGATGCACAAATGAGCAAGGTCCCAGGCAGCCTGATGAGCCCAAGGGCCAGCGTTATTTTAGAAAAGAAACCATTTCTCTAGGAAACCAATCAAACCAGAGCTATGAGGAGCTGCCCAGAGGTGATCAGAATGCTGCGGCTGGCCGGCCTGGTCCTCTGGAGAGCTTCACCCACTTTCAGGGTGAGGACAAGGGGCTCTCTGTTTGATGCTGTAGCTCAACAGAAGAGGGGAATTGAAAGGTATCGTTTTCTCTTTGGGTGCTTTTCAACATTGTGCCTTGAATCAAATTAGCACATTGGAAGGGAGAGAGCGAGGGAGGGGGAAACCCAAGCGATTTTCATTGTAACGTTATAAACTGGCTAGTCTTAAATTACTTGCGTGCGCCAGTATATACTAGATTGTTTCCCTACCCACATTTTTCTCAATTTCTCATTTACTATAAAACAAGCAAATGAAAGTGAATACTAGTAGAAAATCTAGTTCATGCATTTATAGATTGAAACCTTTTAAATTTAAGGTTATAGATTTAATTATCCATATGCACACATATACATACAGAGTTGGGGGAGTTTAAGATGTGAAATGTTTCAGCACAGAACACCAGTCCAGCCACAAATAAGAGCTTCAGTGTCATCCATAAATGGAGCCAGAACCTATTAAGAATGGACCAAACCTCAGTGAGAAACATTGATGGAGAATTACTTACTGGAGGTCCAGGCGATCCATCAACACCTGGGAGTCCAATCTCTCCTTTTTTACCCTGAACATGAAACAGAATATTACCAAGTTAATGTGGAAAATAGGAAAGGACAAGATTTTCATTTTTGTTTGTAGAACATGTGAATGTGTGCCATGTGTCACCCTGAATATGAATACAAAATCTGAAGAACCTCAATCTGCTCAAACATTTCATGTTTTGCACAGATTTCCATACCTTAAGAAAAATGAACGGGGCCAGTTTCAAAGCAGGACCTGCAAGAAGGCCTCTGGCTTAGCTCTTAAATAGGTGGAGATGCATGAACATCATTGAACATTTCTGTGTCACTCATTCCTACATGCATTCATGCGGGTTGCATCGTGAATTTTTTAGTTTGTTTTTATGCCAATATGGCTATCTATTAGGGGGTTCTAGGGGCCATCTGTAGTTATGACATAGCTCTATTCTTTTTTAAGCACAGGACTTAGAAGACTTTATAAGCACATACTGGTCAGTTGTTAGTCACGAAGTTGTGTCCAACCCATCGCGACCCCATGGACAACATTCCTCCAGGCCTTCCTGTCCTTCACCATCCCTGGAGTCCACCCAACCTCACACCCACTGCTTCAGTGCCTCCATGCAGCCACCTCATTCTCTGCCGTCCCCTTCTTCTTTTGCCATCTATGGTTCCCAGCTTTAGGCTATTGTTCCAGTAGATAAGGCAAATTGGGACTCCCAGGGTATCTTTTTCTGGAACAGTTTGCACTTTTTCAGAAGGACCAGATAAGGAGTTTGCTGGGGTTGCTTGGACCCAGGTTTGCCCCTGAGTGCCAGGTAGCCGCCATCTTTGCGTAGCTTCACTAGCATACTAGCTGTAGCCTTTTCTAGCCAAAGTGGATCTTGCCATATCAACTTATCCCTTAATTACATCTATTTAGATACTGTAGCAGACACTAAGGTGGCCCTGCCTTTGGACAGTACGCTAGTGCAAAACGGTGCAACCAGACAACTGTCCGGTATGCATTTTAGAGAAGAAGGGACACTGGTCTTCTCCTGACAACATGGGGTTCCTGTTTTTAGTCAAATTCAAGGAACTGTTTTATGAATGATAAAGCACTAAATAGCTTGGAGCCCAGACATCTGAAAGGCCAATCCATCCTCTGTGAGCCTATGTACTCTTCTATGCTCCGCAAAGTCTCTGTAGGAGGTCCAGGCTCCAAGGTAGTCTGTTTTGTTGGATACACAAGCCAGGGGCTTCTCTGCAGCAGCACCTTAATTCCCCAAAGGAGGTCAGCTTGCCTCCACCCTATTAGCATTTAGACAAGCAGTGAAAACTGTTCAATTTTGCTAGACCATTGGCTTTTAATATTAGCCTGCTAAAACATACATACATAGGTCTGTTTCAGTTTTATTGGAGTATGTAGCTGTATAACACCTGATGGACAGAAAAGCAATGGACAGGGAAATCGTATGAGTTGAACCAATCACATTCATAAGTCTCTGACCTTGGAGACCTAGAAAGACTCTAGTGGAGCAGGTCGAGCAGCAAAGGTGACCTCTACCTCTGCTCTCCATGTTTGAAAGATGGCTGCCTTTGGCCATTGGCCTGAGTTGCTTCAGGGGGAGGCCAGGATGTGAAGGATGTGAGGACCCATCCCCTGGCACCTTCTCCCTTCCTACCCACTGGAACACCCCTTTTCCCTTCTCCAGGACTGAGTTCCTAACCTCAGTCCTGGAGATGCAACTGGTCCAGAAAGAACTGCCGGAGGGAGGAGGACATGATTGTGGATTTGCAGGTTTGGTCTCTGGACTTGCATCTAGGAATCCGCAGTATCCTATCGCCCCTCCTCACACAGTCTAAGATTGTTCTTTAATAGATGCTTTAAAAAGTGGATATATAGAACTGAAGAAAAATATGTGGTGCACACTCCTGTTTCCAAACAAATGCTAAGATATGTGCAATTTGTCTTTCTCACCAGTGAAGCAAAACATGCCCTTTGGATAATGATGCATTTGCATGTTGAAGCGGAAAACACCCACCAAAACAGCATTAAATTATCCTCATGAAAATGGCAGCAAGAATAACTTCGTATTATGAGCTCCAAAAGCAGAAGTGGGTGGAGGAGAAAAATATAGCAATCTGCCAGTTTATACAAGAGGGACACCTCTCCCACCGCACCCCCAGGATCAGGCTTCAATCATTGAGTTAACGTCTTTGAAACAGGAAAGGGAATGTTCTAAATAAATATGCCAAAGGGGAGAAGAGGGAAGTTGCTAACTACAGTGAAGAAGGGGAGAAGCAGGATAGCATTGGTGGAAGGGTATAAGAAGAAAAGATCCCAGCTCTCTCAGGGCACTTCTGAACTTTCTGCCTTTAGCACTTCAGCTCGTCCTGGATCTAACAGATGCACTTCCACATTCCCTTGTGGATAACAGAACAAAGCAGCAAGGATGCCACCTTGAGAAGGTGCAGCAAAGCAGCTTGTTCCTCAAGATTTATGTTTCAGCCCTGACAGAAACTAATTGTCAACCTGTGTAATTAGTTTGCTGGGAAATGACTTCCTGGCAAACCTTGGAGTTTCACCATCTCTGCCTTTTCTCAGCTTTGGGCTGCGGGCATTTTTGTGCAGGTAATGTTCCAAATGAACAACATGAGCTCAGGAACTAATTTGACTCCTTGGAAAAGGGAAGTGCCGCTCTCCTAGCAAGCTGTTCTCCCTGCCTTCCTTTGGCCCTGGTGGGGTGAATTAGCAAGGAAAACAAAACTACCATTCAGTATAGATTTGCAATCCCCAGGGGATGGTTTCATCTCATTTCTGACTTTATTATTTTGGGGTTTGCTACATTATTTATTTTTTTGGATACCTGATTAAATTTCTGTTACTAGAACACAGGACATAAATGGGAATTCATAGAATCATGCAATCATAGAATAATAGAGTTGGGAGGGGCCATGAAGGCCATCAAGTCCAACCCTCCTGCTATTGCAGGACACCACGTCACACCATCCCACTCAGAGGGCTGTCCAGTTTCTTTTTGAATGTCTCTCATGGGGGAGAGCCCACCACCTCTCCAGGCAGCTGGTTCCACCGTCGTATTGCTCTGACACTGAGGAAGCTTTTCCTGATGTCCAGCCTGAATCTGGGTTGTTGGAACTTGAATTGATTATTCCATGTCCTACTCCCTGGTGTCAGCAAGAGAGCTTGACCTTCCTCTTTGGGACAGCCTTGGAGGCCCTTCTAGAGGGATCCCATGTCCCCCCTCAGTCTCCTCTTCTCAAGGCTGAACATGCCCAGTTCTCTCAGTCTCTCCTCACAGGGCAGTTTTTCCAAACCCTGGATCATTTTTGTTGCCCTCCTCTGGACCCTTTGAATTTTCCTGCATCTTTCTTCAGTCTTGGTGCCCACAGCTGGACACAGTATTCCAGATGAGGTCTGACTAGGTATTTTCCAAGATTTATCAGAGATAATAGCCAGTGGTTCCGAGAGTTCCTCCACTAGCTCTTTTATGACTCTGGGATGGAGTTAATCGGGCCCTGGAGATTTGACAGTGTTTATTCCGTCTAGGTATTCCTTGATAATTTTTCTGTCAATCTTGGGCTACCATCTCTTACTTCCAGCTTGTACTTCCTCTTGATTGCAGATTTCCTTGTGGGAGAAGACTGAGGCAAAGTAGGAGCTGAGCACTTCTGCCTTTTCCTTGTCCTCTGTTATCACTCTGCCACCCCCTTTAAGTAGCAGGACACCCTTCTCTTTCTCATGTCTTTCATTCTGGATGTATCTGAAGAAGGCTTCCTTGTTGTTTTTAGCATCCCTTGCTATTCTCAATTCATTTCCTGCTTTAGCTTCCCTGATGCTATTCCTGCAATTCCTTGCTATTTGTTTATATTCTTCCTTCATGGCCTGGCCCTGCATCCACTTCCTGTATATGTTCTTTTTTTTTTCTTTCAGGCTGCCACTTAACTTTTTGTGGAGCCATGTGGGCATCTTCTGCTGTCTTCTGCACTGTTTTCTTGATGGGATTGTTCAAAGTTGTGCTTAAAGGATCTTTCTCAAGATTTCCCACCCTTCTTGGACTCGTAAGGATGTGTTGCTATGGCACTTGGCTTATCATTTTCCTGAGTTCATTAAAGTTGGCTTTCTTGAAGTCCAGCATGCTTGTTTGGCTTCAGTTTGGCTCCTTTATAGTTGAGAATTCAAGTTTTGCATGGTCACCATTTAGATCCCAAAGTGTGAGGAAGTTTTATGGTACCAGCTTGACTCATTCAATTGATGTAGGGCTGGAAATACAGGTTAGGCCAGGGAGGAAGAACTTAGGCTGAAAGACCAAACCTTGTGTTCCTGTGGTGGCAACTTCATCCCCTGAGGTCCCCTTTCTGCAGCTCCATCAAATCTCTCTCAGCTACCAACTGTTTGGCAAAATGCCTCCCCTGAAGGCTATAGCAGCTTGAAACCAACATATTCTGGGGGTGGTTGTGGGCATTTTTGATCTATATATAATGTAGTCCCCATGAACTGAACTCATGGCAACTCGTTGCAAATGAATGCAACCCTTGGGCTGGTTACTTAAAGGAGTGCTTGCATCCATATATGCCCTCCCGCCCCTTGAGATCGGCGGCAGAGGCCCTCCTCCGGGAACCCTCCGTGAAAGATACTAGGAGGGTGAGTACCCGGAGGAGGGCCTTCTCTGCGGTGGCGCCCAACTTATGGAACGTGCCCCCCAGAGAGGTCTGCCTGGCGCCGTCGTTATTTGCTTTTCGGCACCAGGCCAAGACCTTTTTATTTAAATGTTATTTTAATGGTTAATGTTATTTATTGGTTTTATTGATTTTAAAATTTCGCTAGGATGTCTCCACTATTTTATGCATTTGTATGATGGAATTTATTTATGATTGAAAGCCGCTCAGAGGCTTATGTGAAGGGGGCAGCATATAAGTTCTCAATAATAATAATAATAATAATAATAATAATAATAATAATAATAATAATAATATAATTCCATTTGTAAAGCAGGATGCATTCTGTCATATTTAAGTCATAGAAATCTGCACAAAATTTGGGTTCCTGCTTTGCTGTTCAGAATGGCAAGGTGTTCGTATGCCACAAGAGAAGGAAGTTTCCGTACTTTTTATCTTAACAAGAACAACCACAAGAAAAGCAGCAACAATGTGAATTTAACAAGTCAACCCTGAATTGTGCAAAACAGAATTTGTGCAATAGCACATAAAATATACAGCAATATTAGAGACCAAACATCCCCGTTCCCAGCAACTTGGCCCAGCTTTTGCCATTTGGTCAGAAACTTGTTGAAATTTGTTGAATTCAAGCAGAATGCACCCCCCTCCCCAGCTTGGAACATCCCCAATTCTGTTCATACATATATACAGCTATGGCTACTTCTGTACATATGTGTGTTTGTGGACCTGAACTTTGGAATTACAAGATTGGTGTTGCTGTTGAGCAAGGAAAATTGCATTATTCTGAACATATTGGCAAATTCTCATAAATTAACACTGTTCTCCACACACACACACACACACACACACACAGCATTCCTACTTAAATCCACATTTCTTCTATTCCTGTCCTGCTCTTCTTTCTAGCCTGCAGTTGCCTGAATGTGAAACTTTCCCAAGGCAACGCTGACAAGCTGCCCATTTGTACCTAGCTTAGTGTTGATGCAACAGACAGATGCTTTCCACAGATATCTGACAACTGAGATGACAGGTGAAGGGGCTGCACGTGTCAGAATACAGACAAGCACATTATGAATGGTTCTCCAAGAAGAAGCAATATTAAGCCTGTCCTTGTTAAATTTCTGTGATTTATGACAGTTTCCAAGTTAAGAAACTGATGTAAATTTAATTGCAAGCCTCTGCTTCTTGAGGTCATGGGCAAAGACTCTGGTGTAGAGCCGCAGAATGATCCCTTGATCCAGAAGGGCTGTCAAATGGCATCAGGTTCAAACCTTTCTCCCAGGCGAGTTCCACTAGCTTCCCTAAATAACATCCCACACAATCCAGATTTGGGGAAGCTACAGACACTGGACAAGAAGGAAAGCACTGGGCCTGGCCTCCAACAGCCTTCTCCTGGGCTTACAGGCAGGTCTGCTGCTGGAATGAAACTCTGACTGGCATGCTACACCTGGGGCTGGTGAGGAGGCATGGGCACCGGTGGGAAAGAGGACCCTTCGGATTCTAATCTCTCTGCTAAAAGCTGACTCCCTGCCTCCTTGCCACCTTCACTGCCTTCGCAGAGATGCCTATCAATGTCATCAGGAGAAGGCTTTCTCAGTGGTGGCCCCCATGTGTGGAATGCCCTCCCCACTGTGAGCCACCTGGCACTGAATCTGTCGGTGCCAGGTCGAGACAGCCCTCTTCCCTGAGGCTCTTCAAGACTTGTGTGGCCTGAGGGGGCTCATAAGGGGTTTTGCAGAGTCATAGAATCACAGAAGATTTTGAAGGGGCCAAGAAAGGCCATTGGGGCCAACCCCCTGCTCAGGGCAGGACACCAAATGAAACCATCCCTCTCAGATGGCTGTCCAGTTGCATCTTGAATGCCCCTAGTGTAGGAGAGCTCACAACTTCCCCAGGTAAGAGGTTCCATTGTCATACTGCTTTGACAGTGAGGAAATTCTTGCTGGCGTCGAGTCTAAACCTGGTTTCTTTTCACTTAAATCTGTAATTCTGTGTCCTGTACTCTAGAATGAATGAGAAGAGATCTTGCCCGTCCTCCTTGTGCTTGTAGGGTGCTAACAAATCAACTCTCAGGCTTCTCTTCTTGAGGCTGAATATGCCCACTTCTCTCAGTTCTTCCTCATAGATCTTTGCCTCCAGTCCCCGAATCTTCCTTGTTGCCCTCTTCTTTACCCTTTTTTAGCTTTTCTGCATCTTTTTTAAATCTTAGGTGCCCAGAACAGGACTCATGACACTAGGGGAGGTACGACCAGGGCTAAGTATATGGGGACTAGTACTTCAGGTGCTTTGGAAGTGATACTTCTGTTAATGCAGCCCAAAATACTGTGTGCCCTTCTTGCAGCTCCGTCACATTGTCGGCTCATATTTAGCTTGTGACTTACAACAACCCCAAGATTCTTCTCCTCTGCGGTATTGTGGTGCTAAGTATCCCCCATTTTGTAGTGACACATTTGGTGTCTTGTTCCTAAGTGGAGGACTTGGCAGGCACCAAAAGATGCCAGGTGTGAATACAATGCCTGCAAACATGCTCTCAGTTCTTGATCCAGGTACCCAGTGGTGTAGCTTAGATGCCATCATCCTTAACATCTTGTACATTTGGCATTGCTAACAACTTTTTAAATAAGAATGATGTCACCGTATCACTTTTTTCTCTTTTTTATGGAAGTGTCCTCCTGAAGAATGATGAATATGTATAAACAGAGGTAGGAAGACATTACACCTAATGACACATTCAATCACGGGGGGTTGTTCTGCCCACTTATGAAGCTGGAAAATTGTATTGTGTCACAGCCTGTTTGAAGAAATGCTGCCTTCTAATGAACCGAGACTACACATCTTGTTAGGGAAGCTGTAATGAATTACTCTTCTAAGACAGAGAAGAAGAAAAAACAGGTGACACACAAGTTTATTTTGGAATTGCGTGCTTATCCTCTGAATGCACAGAAGGTCTATTTCTATTTCTTCTTTTATATTCTTTTATTTATTTTATATTGTTAATTTTAATTTTATACTGTTATTTTTGTATTTTATTGTATTTTATTGTGTTTTAAGCTGTCCCGAGGCTTCGGCAAGGGGCGGTATAGAAATGTTCTAATCAATAAATAAATAAATAAGCAAGCACTGGAGGTGATGTGGCAGAAAGACATAACTTTTTCATTGAACTTACAGACTTTTCAGCATTTAAATCCACAGTTTAGATTTACAGAACCTCAACATAGTTGGAGAGTTACAGCAAGAACTTCTCAGTTGCAAGGATTTTTATTCTTAGCATTCCTCCAAGGTGGTTTCCCATGTGGTTTTTCTCACACCTTCAAGGCTACAGGAACAAGCTAGAAGTGCTGCAGTGAAATCTCATGTGTTCCTAGTAGGAATGTTTATATCCTGGGCTTTGCAAGGGTGGTACGGTTCTAAATTCTAATTAACAGCACACTGGGGAGTGGAAAGGATGGAGGACATGCTATATCTGAGCTTGCTGAGGTTGTCTGAATTGTTCCTCAAGGCTGCTTACATCTCATTTGCATTCCCCAAAGTAAGCTTCTTTTTCTGTGCATTACATTTGTGTGTGTGTGCATTTTCCTTGAACAAAAATACAGATTCCATCCTCATTCCAGATGCACAGGCTAAATTATAAACAAGTTTGGGAGGTTTTGCATATACACACGTGTTCAAGTACACATTTTTTGCATTGGCGCACATCTGCACTTTCAAATAGAAACTCAAGTTCCAGAAAATATGAGTATTTCCCAAACATTGCTCCTGAATAAATAAATTAATTAATTAAATTAAAATCACTGCCCCAAACCTCCCTCCCCAGAACAATTTTTACCCAGCTATATTAGTCTGTTAGATACAACATTCAGCACCTGGGAAAGGAGAAGGTAAAACCAAACAAAGCAGAAGTGAGGAATGTTGAAACTTTCCCAAATACGGCTTGGGTCCTGGTTACCTGAAGGAGCGCTTACATCCATATATGCCCGGCCACCCCTTGAGATCTGCGGGAGAGGCCCTTCTCCGGGAACCCTCTGAGAAAGAAATTAGGAGGGTAGGTACTCGGAGGAGGGCTTTCTCTGCGGTGGCGCCCAATCTATGGAATGCGCTCCCCAGAGAGGTCCGCCTGGCGCCGTCGTTATTTGTTTTTCGGTGCCAGGTGAAGACCTTTTTATTTAAGCGGCATTTTAATTGTTAACAGTATTTGCTTATTTATCTGGCCAGGGTGACTTCTTTTATATTGTTATTTATTTTATATTGTTATTTTTGTATTGCATTTTATGTTGTGAGCCGCCCCGAGGCTTCAGCGAATGGGGTGGCATAGAAATGTTTTAATAAATAAATAAATAAATAAATAAATAATAAAAATAAAAATACCAACAAACAAACTGGATGGACTTTGCAAAGCTGAGACGTGCAAAAGTGGAAGCATTGCCCACCCTTTGACCTTGCAATCCAGCAGCTCCTGGCTTGCCTTCTGGTCCTGGGGGTCCCTGAAAACAAGAAAACATCAAACAAAGACATCAGACAAAAGGAGAAGAGAAACAGGGTTCCATTTCCACATTCAATGGTGCTTTCATGCCAGAGAAAGATAAGGCTGTCGTTTTGGTGATCTGCAAGCTGTCTCAGAAAAGTATTTTCAGTGGAACTGAGCTTGAGCTCCTGGCAGGTGGGTTTGAACCAGGAAGCAAGTCTCATGTGCTGAGCAAGAGCACCTGGCTGCTACGCGTAGGGCAGAGGAAGGGTGGCCGGGAGTCACACGGGATTCCTTTCCTTCTGAGAGCCATGCAACTCACCTTCTTCTGTGCCACACTGGTCACTAGGCATTGGCACCACACACCTGCTGCACAAACTGCATCTCTCTCCAGCACCAACCACTGTGGCCTTTGTTTTGCTGCACCCAGCTCAGAAGAAGGTTGTAGCTTGCGCAATCTTTGTTTTGCACATGTCCACAGACTTCCTCTTGGCTCCGCTCACTTTGCAGGACCAGGACCAGGCAAAGCACAAGAGGAGGTCTGGGAAAGCTAGAGGGATGGATTCTGCTGGGGGGCATCCCAACCCTAGAGGACCACCAGTTGGTGAATGCTGGCCTAAGAGCAGAGGTGCACCAACATCTCAGTCACAGGTATTTCCCAGCCCTCGTACCCAAGATCTTTTGCCTTGAATCTGGGGCCGTGAGCATCCAAAGCGTAAGGCATGCCCTTCTCCTGAATTAATCCCCCACACCATGAAATGAAAGGCATCCCAATCTATAAATTCCTGTCTGAACTGGTCCATGACCAGTATATCTGGCTATTAAACTCATTCTTTCAAGGTATGGTGATTTATCCAAGCCCAGTGTTCTCACAACCAGTAGCTGGGGTCCTGTTTATGCCAAACCCCCTGAACTACAGTCTTATTTATTTATTTACATATATTTATAGGCCGCCTATAATTGCTGAGGCCATCCTAGGCAACTTTATTTATTTATTTAAAACATTTCTATGCTGCCCCCATCGCAACAAAGCCTCAGGGTGGCTCACAAAGAATACATAAAAACCTACATAAATAATAATAATGATATAACAATTAAAAAAATTTAAACCCCCAGTGCATTCTTGGCTAAAATTTTTAAAATCCTAATGAATTCAATAATTTAACTATTAAAATAAGTTTTAAATAAAAAGGTCTTAGCCTGGCACCGAAAAACAAATAACGATGGCTCCAGGCGGACCTCTCTGGGGAGCGCATTCTATAGGTGGGGCGCCACCACAGAGAAGGCCCTCCTCTGGGTACTCACCCTCCTAATATCATTCACAGAGGGTTCCGGAGAAGGGCATCCGTTGCTGATCTCAAGGGGCAGAAGGCATATATGGGCGCAAGCGTTCCTTTAGGTATCCTTACCATAACTTACAATGCAAGCTGCCTAGGAAGTTGCTAAACTCTTCAAGTTACTAAACTCTTTATACTTGCTGCATTAGCTATTATTAGATATGAATCTAACACCATGCTATTCCAAAGCAAGACTGAAGCTGACATAGACTAACATGCTGCTCAGCTTTAAGGTACAGGGTATAGAGGACTTGTTCAGAATTTCATCCTGGAATCTGTCATGCTCTGGTTATGAATCGCACCCTGAGCCAAATAGCCAGACCTAAGCCTGTTTAGGACTCTATATATTTCCCAGAGTGTAGGTCATCTAATACCATGAGCAAATGAACAACTCCAAAATGGAAGCAAACTACTTACTGGACTACCTGGGTTTCCAGGAGGGCCTATGGATCCACGGGGACCAGGAACTCCCTATAAACCAATAATAACAAAAATAAGAATAATAATATCAAAAATTGTAAATAAGATATGGTGGGCATGTTGTGCGCGGAACCCGCTGGAGTCAGGGGTCAGACTAGATGGCCTGGGAGGTCCCTTCTGACTCACTCTGTTTCTCTGTTTCTATGTTTTTATTAAAAGTAAAAGAATACATTATATTGCACTTAAATAGAACCCTTCCAAAGTACATTTTAAGGGCATGAGAGTTGGAGTTCTTCAATTATAAACATTGATTCAGATGCTTCAGTTATAAGCATTGATTATAATCATTTAAACTTCTCAGAAAAGTTAGCAATTTTGAAAAATACACAGATGCATACAAGATTCTCAGCCTCTTCCATCGATACATGTTTTTCCTCCACTGCTTCTGCTAAACAAAGCTGATTGTAAATCCAGATTTGATGTTCCTTGGGGATTTGTAACATGTGGCTTGTTCCCTTAGATCTGCAGGAATGTGTGACCCTCTAGATGTCGTGGGAATACAGTTCCCATTAGTCTTGGAAATGTTGAAGGGCAGTGGGTACTGCATCCCAGTAATAGCCACACCCTTGCATTACCTGTTTAATCAGAAGTTCCATTGCATCCAATGGGTCTTACTTTGAAACAAGCTTGCAGAGGGTTACTTTTAACCTAGGATTTCTCTGAGCAACTCCCTAATTCTTCTAGGGAGTTTTTCTGAGCAACTCCCTAATGGTAAGAATCTAAACTCTGGTGCAAGTAAAGCCATCTACATGGCAACAGCATGGAAGGGACCTTCACCCTCCATCACCACCCCTATGCTGCCTTCAGGTAATGAAAGCAGACAAAGCAATTTCATGTTAGAGTTCTCATGAACAGCTAGGAAGTGAGTGGATTAAATGAGTGTAACCCTTGAAGAAAAGCTATTATTGGGAAGATAAACAGCTTGCCTGTATCTCCTTTGCTTTCAAATAAAATGTATTCATGGGAGAAAGGTTCTAAACCATTCAGACCCGACTTATTGTATCTGCAGGTTTTCTTGACTTTAGCACTGACTTTGAGAGCTAAGAGTCAAGACTGCCAGTGTTGGAGGAAATCTTTATTGCTAGTGCAATAATGCTTTCAGAAGTTCTTACCTGCTCTCCTTTCAAACCTTCAATCTGCACCTAACAAATAGCAGAGGAAGGAAGAGATTAGCTTTTGCCCTGTTTTTCTTTATAGTGCAGACTTGTGATTTCCAAGTTGTACTTCAGCTGTGAAGTCACAGAATGTACATGGTGGCCACAGATGTGGATATGAGAAGTTGTTGGTGGTGGTGGTGGATCCAAAAGCATTCCTAATGTCGTTGTGCCCCAAATGGGTCAGAAGGGGAAGCCAGGCCCTTGAGGACTATGCTCAAAGTGCTGGGCAGCAGTCCACCCTGTCTGAGAATCCCTCAACCATTCTGGACTCCACCAAAGAGGCATGGCATGGGACAGGCAGCTGGTCCTGGAACAGTTCTAGCACCACAGCCAGCATTGCAGCTAATTGGCTCAGCCCTTCAGGACCATGGAGGACAGTTCAGGACCATGGACAGCAGTTCTGCAGCTACAGTGCTGGCAAGGAACCAGAGCAATGTCTTGGAGTAACTGGCAGGGTTTTGGGAGGTCTGCCTCCTCTGAGTTCTTAAAGGTTCATTGACCCTTCCCTCAGTCACTGGCTTGTTCTGAGCAGAGAGGGTCTAGGAATAAAAATTTCCCGGGGGATGCTTCCTAGAGTCTCTCTGCTCCATGCAGGAGTGCAAGATTTTTTTTTTTTTAAATTAATGAGATCTACACTTCAGAGAGCAGATTGAAAGTACAGGATGATTGATTTCAAGTGGAAGAACACATCCATGAAGGTCAAGGAACTGCCTTGGAGATGCTGCCACTAGAAAACATTGATCCGAGAAGACTTTTGGGCAGGAGCCATGACACTGACTGCATTTGACAAACAATTTCTCTTTAGTATATAATTTGGACTTGGTCAACATGGCCAAGTACTAGAGATGAGGGACACATGGTTGCCTATTGCACATTACGCCAGACTTTTGCAACCTGCTCTCCTCCTATTTCTTTCATATAGCAACTCTCAACACAAAAGGCATATCTCTCAGGAAGAATATTTACCGCTGAGCCTGGTTTCCCCGGAAGTCCTATTTCACCCTAGGTGAGAAAACAAATGAGTGAAAAATCCAATTCCATGCTTACATCCTAGTTTTAAATGCATTTGCTTGATGTTGCAAACAATTGTGCTATTCATTCCACAATGGGACTTTTGTAATCCTTTTAGGACTGTCACAGAAATTATTTTAAAAGTATCCTTTTAAATTTTAATTGAGAATAGATGCAGGATGTTCAAGCTAGATCTTAACAGCCCACCGGCAGACACACTAAGGTCTCAATTTGTATTGGGCAAACTTTGCCTACTCTAGAGTAGTACTGAAAAGAGTTGTAACTTCTATACATGGATCTGAAGTAATATCAGTTTTGGCCTTCAAATCCTTTCCTGGCTATCTGCCTTGAAGTCTTTTCCTAATGGTACCATTACACACAAGAAATGCACCCTCTGTTTCCACCTTACCTTTTCTCCCTTGGGTCCCATGGGACCAGGTTGGCCTGGACTCCCTTTGAAGCCCTGAAATCAGATCAAGCAGTAGTCAGCAGGTATTCAGGGAGATAAATTTGCAAGCTGCAGTCAGAGAGGACAAGGTTACAGATTGAAGGAACGTCTCCTCCCCTATATGCCCTCTCGCCCCTTTGGACCAGTAAGGGAGGCCTTGCTTTGGGAACCCTCTTTGAAGGAGTTACAGAGGGTATCCACCCGGAGGAGGGCCTTCTCTGTGGTAGCACCCAGGCTATGAATATGCTCCCCAGAGAGGTCTGCTTGGCCCGACTCTCTATTGTTTTGGGCACCAGGTAAAGATCTTTTTATTTAACCACCATTTTAATAATTAATATTAGCAATTTTAATAGTAATATTAATTTTTATACAGTTGCATTTTCATTTTCTTCTTTCTTTTTCTTTAGTTATGAAAAGATATATTGTTATTTATGTTGTATTATTGCTGAATGTTTTAACATTATTTTATATTGCTATTTTTATCCTCTGTAAGCTGTCCTGAGGCTTGTTGCAAAGGACGGCATAGAAATGCCATTTAAATTAAATTAAATTAAATTAAAATAAATTAAGACGCCATACATCAAATTCTTGGATGCTTAATCTGGTAGCACAAACAAATTAGCACAACATAAATTAAAGATCGGAAATTCCTTCACAATTCTTAGTGCTGCTCCACAGCAAAAGGAAATGGGTTACCTTTCTTCCCTTTTTTAATCTTTAATATAATGAGAGGGGGGTCATAGAAATAGAAATTGCCACAGAATTGATTTTTTAGGAAAGCAAAGTGGGATGAAAGTGATTTAAATATCAACAGGATAACAAGGAAAAATGAATCAACACAGCTAGATAATGGAGACTGTGTCTGTCTGTGTGTGTGTATGTGCAAGAGAAAAGGGGGAGACACACACACTAAGAAAATGAGAGAGAGAGAGAGGAGAGGGAGAGGGACAGATAGTGGGATGGACAGAGAGAAATTTAGAGGGTTGGCATAATATAAAAATACAAATGTGGAGTGGGAAAGGTATGGAGGCAATATATTCAGGAGAAGAGTTTCCAGGTGGTGATGATTATGTTACAAACTGAAGAGGATTGTGCAATTTTTACAGTGAAAACCAGTGTTGTGAAATCAGGCTTCCTGTGCCCCTCCTCCCACCAGCAGTGGAGCTTTCTTCTGAGTAGACCTGTATAGGATTTCAATGTGAAACACATAGGAACTTAATGCCCATTTATGCAGGGACTTTTTTCCCCTTGAAAACTGATTTCCAGTTCTAAATCCCTCTCTGTATTCATAATCAATTTTGGGAAACTGTGTCCTGACATATAGAACTGTCCACATACCTGTTTCCCTTCTGCACCAGGCTTTCCAGGAAAACCATCAAGACCTGGTTCACCCTGAGCAAAGAAAAAGAAGTACAGAATTGGCTGTCAGCTGTGATGCTCTGCCTTGGATTTGTGGGAAAGGCGAGTTAGACCACTGAGGTTGCCACTCAATACATGCTTATCCTGAGAAAGAATAGAAGTGCAACACACTGAGGAATGCGCTCTGGGGGAGTTAGGTGTGGCCTCACCTTGCCATACGTGCCATATGGACAGAGCAAGTTGATGGATACCAACAAGTGGTAGCTCAGGAAGGAATATTCCCAACCTGAACAGTCCAGGAATTCCACACTGGCCCTTCTTCATGCAACACATGTGCTTTGCTCCTGCCCTGGAACCTGATCTCAAAACTGTCTTGGGCTGCATACGTCCTTCTTGCTTTTGCATTCCCTGTGCCCAAGCTGATGCGGCATTCAGCACCATGGAGAGCTCCTATGAAGCTCTGGATATGTGCTACGATGGCTGAGGACCCTCACTGACAAAGGAGTCATCAGCCTCCCCTGCTGAAGCCCAACCACCAACCCAACCACCATGGCCCACTGGACTCTGCTCTACTTTTGCCAGAATCACCTCTGTCAGCACTCTAAGACCCGGGCCTGACCATTCCAAGGCATTATTTGCAAACATCTGCTTTATATGTTGACCCACAGAAACTCCCGCACAAGATGTATCTTGGTTATACTTATATTGTCATTCTTTTTGATGTGTGCATTAGAGCATATCAAGAAGGCAACAAGGAAGGTCTCACTTCCCATGTAATTAAACATGGTTACTATGCTATCTACAATATAACCCCCGCAAGCAGGGGTGTCTCATGTTGCTGAATACTATACAGAAATTGGGAGGGGGTACCAAACATTAGCATTGTTCGTGTAGAATTTACTACAATTTCATCCAGAAAATGTTGGATATTGTCACAATATTACAGAAGAAATTATATTTATGGAAATTTTAATATTGCAAAAGTTATCATGCAATTCATCTGTAGGAACTATGTACTGTTCTGTGAATTAAGCCCTGATTCACCGTGCCTGCTATGGAATTATCACAAAGCAAAGGCATGAATAGCAGAATCAAGAGATCCCTGCCATAGAATGCATGAAGTCCAACGTGGCTACATGAAATCTGAGAGAAGGATTTGCCACAGAAAGGTATTGGAACTGGAAATCTTAATACTGGATAATTTCCATTCCCCAGTTCTGTGTGGCATTTCCTTTGGTGTGTGGGGGAGTGAATCAATTCTGTGCACTTGTTGGCAAGCTATTTGACACATATAACCTGTACCTTATCTCCTCGGGGTCCCTTTTCTCCTCTTTCTCCCTGCAGACCCTGAAAAGGAAATGAAATAAATGATAAAATTAAAAGTTTTGCAATGTGTGGACTTCCAACCTAGAGCAAACCTGAAGGATTCACTACTGTTGTAAGAACTTGAGCACAGTGATTCTCTATGCGATGAACAACTTGGAAGGGAAATGCAGATCTAGAGCTTTGCCTATTAAATAGCTGTTGAAATAACAGTAATGTTATTTTGAAGATCTCCCTTTGCACGTACTAATTGGTCTTGGAGCACTCAGCAACCTGCTGTATCATCAAGACTTTGAGCTCTTCCAAGACCCCAGAGGAATAAATGTGAAGTCTTTACAACCAGGATAATGAGACCAGGGAGAGTCGAATGGCCCTTTTCAGTAAAATGAGTCTCTCTGATAGACAGCAAAAGATTTCCACAAGTAAATGGTAAATATTTAAGCAAGAAGGGAATGGAGTCCCATGGAAGCCCAAATTAACATTGTACAATCAATCAATACAAATCAATACATCTGGCCACCATTAGGGTTGGTGCACTCAAGACAGTTGGCAGTGTGGAAGTTACCTTAGGGCCCAATGTAATGTATAATTAGCTCCCAGCCCAAACGCATATAGAAGTACACTCTTTATAAGCTTAAGAAAAAGAAAAGTATAGAACCAAACACAATTAATGCTTCATGTACATCCAATATTAGTTAGATAAAACTGCAGGGAGAATGGAAATGCTTTGGTGCATGGAGGACAGAACAAATCAATGCACAGTCCGCTTCAATAGCAACTACATAGTCTCTCTCCATTTCCCTTGCATTAGCATAGACTACGTATGTAGATACTCCAACAATTTTCCAGGTGAATGCAGGGGAGAGAAATCAACTTAAGAGAACTCAGTTCATTGATAGCGTGTGTAGGAAGTGAACTCCTGGGAAATATGGGATATTTTTGCTCCTGTCTCTTCTAGAGATGTAGGAGAATTTTGTTTTGCTATCAAAACACGGCAGCCTGACACATGCAAGGCTCCAAAGAGAAGCACACATTCGCCCAGATATTTGCAGATTGAACACATGCTCACATTTCTTTTACTTCCTATGTTCTAATTTGCGCAAATTTCCTCCATAGAATGAATCAGCTCCAGTTTAGTCTATGGTGGAACACTGTGCTCAACAGGACTTACGGGGACATTTGTTCTGCTTGATTTGTTCAAATTTCCTATTCTCAAATGAGATTGGGCATCAGACATAAGTGGAGCAGTGTTCACAAAATCCAGATGCTCCTGGACCTCACTCATTCATCTACTCCTCACTCTCTTCCAATTATGCTGATAGGAATATTCAAGCTGGTGCCAAGGAGTGGACCTTTGCCCTGTACAAATCCGGAAAGCTGTACCAGAAGCTTCACACCAGCATCTGCCCGTGTGCAACTTGGGGTGCTGTTCTGAAGTGCTGGCTCAGAGCAGAGAATCAGGTTTCCACTCACAACATGGTCCAAGTTGTAAAGATGGCACCAAGTGCATGTAGGACTTATTTTGCTTATTGACCACTGGGCAGGTTAAGTAAAGGTATAGGATCATGACTCACAGGTGCTCCAACGTAACCTTGACGTCCTGGGGGACCTGGCTGGCCCTCTGTTCCCTGCAGGTGAGGAGAATATAAAGGAAGAGGAGGGAGGGGGAGACAGAAGACCAGGATCATCACTCAAACTCAGGGTAGCTCACATGTAAGAGAAAACAAAGGAGGTGGATCTCTTCTTCTGACCTTCATCAGGATAATCAGTCCTGTCTGGATGGCAATTCCACAAGCCAGTAAGCAAACTGCTTGAAGCCATGCAGGGGGAGAGGAGATGTATGCACCATGCATCATTCTTTATGTCTCAGGATATATATTGTGGCTGAGCTATTAGGGGCCAGTGGATGCAAATACAGAACATGCTTTTTTGTCCATGTGATGGTTGCAACCATCTGGAATAACGCCTTCCATATGAAACATCCATTTAGAGAAATATAGCGCATGTTTTCTAGAGCAACTTCCCCCAGATTGGTTCCCTCTAGATGCTTGGGGCTACAACTTCCAGTTTCCTTGGCTGTTGACCACGCTGAATGCGGCTGTTGGAAGTTGGCATCTAACACATCTGGAGGACACTGGACAGGGTGGTGAAACATGCAACACCCACTAGATCTATGCTATGACTGCATAAAGAAAGGAATATCACCTGTCTTGGTGGACAGGAAGACAAACCAGTGTGGCACCCCGTACCTCTGGGTGCTCTCCACTGGCCCTCTTTGCCAAATTCAGCAGCATTGAACGGTCAGGGTGCAATGACGCTAAGCCAATCAGAGTAGCAAGAGGAAATGAAAACACTGAAAACATCATGGGAATGTTGTTAGTACTGTGCACACACGGACGTAAAAGAGATAGCAAGAAGTTGCTGCCCACCAAATGTGGATCATGGTGAAAAGGTGCCCCCAGGGGACCCAATCTTTCTGTGAATTGCTCATACACTATTCCCAAATGGACTAGATTATTGGCAGTTCCACTAATTTATCTCGCTTTGACTGTTGTTACCCTTGCAATGAGCGTATGTGATCACTGAAAAATATATGTTCAAAATAAATCAAGGGATGGAAAGGAAAGCCAAAGGACAAATACAGATAGGATGAGATAGATGCAGACTGCGGTGGCACGAACACAGCCAATGCAGAAAAGTGTCTTTGTTTCTGTTAGAGCTGGAAGCCACACTCAGCCTAATAACCAGATCAATAAGTGAGTAACGATCATCCTGAAATAAATTATATGCTTGTTTTCTTTCTCTAGCTATTGCATCTTCATCACTTTTAATACCAGCAAGTTTAATGTGTGTTATTGTCGTATGTTACATTGGGAGAGCTTTGACCTTGAAAAGCAGCCCAGAAATACTTTAAGCAGATCAATAAATATTCAGTCACCTTTGGCCCAGCTGGCCCAGGAAGTCCAACTGCTCCAGGAAGTCCAGGCTCTCCCTCAAAAAAGAAAACAAAACATGTTCTTTGCAAGTATTTGCATAGATGTTTTAGACATTATTTAATTCTAAAATCATATCCTAAATCAAATATAACACAAGAGGAGGTGCCTTATTCTGAGAAAGATGTGTGATTGATTTGTGCTGGACAGTTGATTTGGTTTTCTTGTTGGGTCAGTGACAGCATAAAAAAGATTGATTGGAGACCTTTCAAAGAGTCTGGGCAGAGAGATGTTTCCCATTCTTGCAGTATAACATGGTCTTCCATTGACTTACAGCCAACAACCAAACAAACAGGTATAGTAAAACTAGTGCCATCCAGCTATTGTGGATGAAAACCCCAATATGCCCTAGTCAGCATGACTAAAGGTCAAGAAAATATCTGAAAAGCACCAGAACACCAACTTCTAAGTGAGAAGAAACATCAGGCATAGACCAGAGGGAGTAACACTTTCCATTTGCAAACATCAATGGAAGCTTCCAGCTGAATATCTTAATATCTAGAATAGGAGACTGTAAAGCAGAAGCAGATCATTTAATAACTGATCGCATTAACCATATTACTGTGGACATGAATAGAGGGATGCTGCGGCACAGTGGCTTCATGACACTGGAACTGTCGATCAGAAATGGTTGGCACTCCAGCAGTTCAAGCCCAGCTTCATGGGATGGAGTGATCTTCCATCATCTGCCCCTAGCTCCTGCCCACCTAGCAGTTCAAAAGCATCCCCATCTGTGAGGGGATAAATAAGGACTGCCACACCTCAATGGGAAACCTGCTGGCTTCATTCATGAAGAAAACAAGCACCAGAACCAGATCTCCCTCAACATGCTCAGCAGAAGATCAGCTGGGAAAAGCCCCGGATGAACTGACTTCAACAAGCCAGGGTGACTTAATTTATATTGTTAATTTATATTATTCTATTTTGAAGTTTATTTATGGTTGTGAGCCACCCCGAGGCTTCAGCGAATAGGGCGGCATAGAAGTCTCCTAAACAAACAAACAAACAAACAAGAATGTCACAGGCCAACAGGTGCTAAGCTGTTTTGCCCTCCATTGTGCAGTGGCACAATAACAGACTAGCAACTGCAGGCAGCAGAACATCTATGTTTAAAACATTGTAGACTCCCTGGCAATAAATGGCATATGCTAAAATAAATGTGGACATGAATCATGTGACTATAGTATGCATATGTGTTAAAGATTAAACAAAATGTCACTGAAAATGGAAGCTTACAAGGTAAGAGTAGCATGGTGTTCAGCCAAGTCTATGCAAAGTTTTCTGAGGATGGTCTTTTTTGGCCATTAGAATGAACCATCCAGGGATTGCTCCAACACAGTCATCAGATCCTGGCCACCCTGTGTTTCTTTTGCATTAGGTTAATTTTGCAGCATTGCTAAAAATGTATCCTTGGGTTGTTTGTTGGTATGCGCAAACAAGGCTCGCTTCCAGATCCCACCTGAGCTCATTCCTTTCAGTCCCTTCACTTTCAGCTGGCAAACTCCTGCTGGCATGGAAACCAACAGCTGAGCTTCAAGTTGTTCCCAGTGCAGGGACAGCGATCCAGTGAATGGCAATAGGCATTCTCCCTGTGAGCATCCGACAGCAGTTAATACATTTGCATTTGGCTGCCTGTCTTGGCCAGGAGACAAAATTTCTGGGGTTATTAACTTGCTGCCATTTGTTTCAGCTGCAGTCAAAATGGCAACACTAATCCCCAAGACATGCTCCATTCAGTGCATGTTGATTGGCAGCACTTGGATGATGCTGTAAGAAAATGGGATTACAAGGGAAGAAGATAAAAGCTTACCATTGCTCCTTTGGCACCATCCCGCCCTGGGATGCCGGGTGCACCAAGGGAGCCCTGAAATAATAAGAATGGCCATAGTAGCATTCATGGGCAGCCATCATCAGCATAAAATCAGCACTGAAAATGCTCACACAACATATGCATAGCAGGTCTAATCACTTCCGCCCCGAGCGACACCAATTTGCGCTCATGCAAATTTGCGCTCCCAGTCCTTGGTATCAAACACTATTAGTGAAATGCTTTCAGAGCGGCATCTGGGACCATGATAGTGTGCTGCCTGGAAAGACCCCCCCCCCTTTCTCTGCCACTTGGGCAAGTCCAGAGAAGGCCACTGGTAGTCATAGAATCATAGAATGGTAGAGTTGGAAGGGGCCATGAAGGCCATTGAGTCCAACTGTTGCAGGGCACCACATTACACCATCCCACTCAGAGGGCTGTCAAGGTTCTTCTTGAGTGTCCCACGTATGGCAGCTGGTTCCACTGTTGTTTTGCTGTGATGGTGAGGAAGCTTTTCCTGATGTCCAGCCTGAATCTGGGTTGTCGCAACTTGAATTGATTATTCCATGTCCTACACAGATGTAGATTGAATGGTTGGCCCTTCTCCTTCCTTGCATTTCTGCATCAGTCCCACTGTGCACACACTGACACGGCAGGGAGGGTGTGGAGGGAAGTCCCATGGCTGGAAGGAGGCTAAGCAGTCAATCTTCTCCCTGAGAGCTAGGTGTCTTGATGCAAGGAGTGTTCAATAATAAAGATGGAGGAATAGTCTGTCTGTTCCATGGTCCCCCACCTGTATCCTGCACTGATGTTCTTCATACAGTATCCTCGGATGTTGTGGTTGTCCCACTGCTCCCAGCATCTCCCCCATGGAGTTACCGGCCAAGACATCTCAAGGACCACAAGTTGCCCACCCTGATTTCCAGGAGATGTTTTCATGAAGCTCCAGAAGTGGATTAACTACTGTACTAGGTATGATCGTCACTGCATATTGTTTTTGTGTCTTTAAAAAGAAAAAGTGCTATACTTTATTATGCTAAAGCCTTACAAGAGACCCTTGCTACAGTAGCTAGCAGGAAACATTCAGAAATTCCAAGCTTTCATACAACTGGTGTCGGTGCTATTAACCCACAGTTGTTCAGCTAGGCATTAACAACAAATATTTTCTTTTCTTGGCTTTTTGAAGAGATTGTTACCTTTTCTCCTCTCTCACCCATCAGTCCAGGCAGTCCTTGGAGCCCTCTTTCGCCCTAGAACAGCAAAAAGGGAGAGGGTCACACAGTGCTCTAAGTTATACTCATATCCTTAAATGGACCGAAGGAATAAAGATGAGCCACAAATTTCAGGATGCCTGATAGCAAATTGCCTGCTTATGGAACATACCAGCAGTGAAAAACAATATGCATATACATGAACAGCAAAATATGCATCACAATGTAGTTCAGGCAATAGTAAAAAAATTCTCTAAGGCAAGGACTGAATCATGTTCCCCTCCAGGACACCCAAAAAAGTGTGGGATTTGGATTGTTATGCAGTATGCCTGGCTCACTTTCCACTCTCACTTCCAATATATTTTGCCATTCTTTGGGTAGAAAGATGGGTATCCGTCAATCAAGCAGGCCAGCAAGGAAAGAAATTAATAAATAAAAATGAGGATGAGGGAGAAGATGAACCTGCTTGCATTTTGGTTTGAGCATATTTAATTTTGCATTTATGGAAGAAAAGGGAATAGCTCCCCTGTCCTCCTCCTCCTCTGAATTTTTTTTTCAGAATTTTATGCTAATAGTGGGAATTGCATCCATTTCTGGGCATGAAGCACACAAAGTTTCAGAAGGATAGGTTCAGGAGCTCTAAGCTAATATGACTGAAATTCTGTCTGAAGCTTTTCTTGAAATATATAAGCCACAGTGGTGCTGGAAATAAAGATTGTTCGATGTAGAACAGGACTGATTAAATAATTGAGAAGGGAAAATAAGGATTTGAATTCATTATGAATAGAACTTGGAACCAGTGCACCCGTCTTCAGCACAGAAGCATCAGTAGCTGCCAGTCAGTGTTGACAATGCTTGGCTAAATGGACCAACAGACTGAAGGCGGTAGCAATCCAGGATTTATTTCCAGCTCTGCCTGGAGATTCCAGGAAGCAAACTTGGACTTTCCATGGGCAAAACACGTTCTCCATCACTCGGACCTACAATCTCCTAACACAATCCCTACAAACCTAACACAGAACCTCAAAATCCCTACTTGCTTGAGAGAGAATGACTTAACAACTGAAAAAATGAAAGCTGGCTGAGAAAAACTATTCGATATAACTCCCTCAAATCACACTGATTGGAATATCCTGGTAAAATGTGTCCTATAGTTAGACTTGGCAGCCCACACTTTTCATCCATGAATGCTAAGAAACAAAACAAAAAATGCTCTAATTCTGGAGACAGACTGTCTGGCTTTCTGAAATCCAGATCACAGACAATCTGCAGGGTCCATATTCTGTTGTGGCCAGAGGAATCTGGGCCAGATTGCAGCTCACCCTGGGAAGCACCGGAACAGTCCAATGGGATCTGACTCAGCTTGGCACAAATCTAATGCAGATCCTTGGATGAGGGTGTGAAAAACATCCCTTGGAAAAGGCTGCCACCCTTATCAATACCGCTTTTCCTTCTGTTGACATTCCTCATGGGCTTTGTCTGAAGAACATCTAGGTTTAGGAATTTGCTTTAGGGAAAACAGGTGAGAAGCTATGGATGGCCAAGAGCCCATCCCAGAAAGAGTAGCAATGTTCCAAAGGAACGGTTCTTATTCATTTGCTTTAAAGTGAACATTTGATAGCAACTCAATGGAAAGGGACATGGGCTAATTAGGACAAACCCTGTGTCTCTCTGAATGCTGTTCTTCCATCCTGGCTTAATTTTCTATTGATGGGCTTTTTTCTTCTATTATTACTTTGCCCATCCTCAATGGAGATGCAATGTCCACCCCGCTGGATGCAGCAATTACAAATAACCAGTATTCACATCTGCTCAGAAGCTCTGCCTTCCCCTTTTCTCTTCCAAAGGATGACTGAACAGATGAATCATTGCTTGGATGTGAATAAAAACCTAGGAACTGATTTCCATCCTCATCTAGAGATGACATGTCCTAGTTTGGCCGCTGGGGTTTACAAAGGAAAGGCAAGACAAGAGCTGGATGAACTGGGAATGAGTGAGCGGCCGAAGATCCTTGCAGAAGAGACTTCCCAGGAGCCTTAGATGGAACAGTTTTGAGACTGAGACCATTCAAGACCACAGGAAGTCAATCAGTCTGGCTTATGGTTGCCAGAATCCAAATCAGGAAACTCTCCTGGGCCTTTTGCAGCTGTGCCAAAGAGTGAATTTAGGCAGAATCTGCCAGTTCTTGAGCACGAGAGTGGCACTTGTTCATATTTTTTCTGCCAATATATGCTTTTTTGCTTGCCCCTGCCCCAAAATGTGCAGGTGCCAATCTACAATTGTCAAATAATCAGTACAATGTCTATACAATTAGTACAAATCTATTTCCCTGTTCCTGAGCCCAGCTGAAATCACCACAATAGCCAACAAAAATGGATTTTCTCAGCAACAATATATCTGTATGTTTATTATTATATTTATATCCTGCCTTTTTTTTCCTTACAAGGAACTCAAGCTGGCTTACATCATTCTCTTCCTCCTGTTCTCAATCTTATCCTCACAACAACAACCCTGTGAGGTAAGCTGGACTGAGAAGCTGTGACTCGCCCATGGTCACCCAGTTGTTTCCATGGCTGAATGGGGACTGGAACCCAGAGCTCCTAAGTCCCACTCCTGTGCTCTTAACCACTATGCCACTCCGCTCTCTAATATATTAATTTGCAAAGTAATTTGGGTGGCTAAAAGGACAATGACGTCTCACTGGCTTTACAAGAGACTCTTGGTGAGGACAAAACCCAATAGAACTGGGTTTCTGGTGTGCATTGACCATTCCACCTGATTTTTGGACTGTCTTTCAGTGTATGGCTGTGCAGACTGTACTTCAAAATATATCACCTGGATTCAAATATGAGGGGCAACCCCCAGATTAAGCATGCTGTGGACAAGCTTTTTCTTGCGAAAGTAGCAATAACAGAGGAGTCAGAGGAGCTTGGGGAATGGGATAGCACAGAGATGAAATATTAGATAAACAGAATAGGGAGCTGTGATAAAAGAACGAGGACTATGTTTATGAACCTAATTGTGAGATAATTAGTGTGCAGGAGGGAGAAGGGGATTCTTAAGCAAATCTTCCCAGCTCATATTTCCTTTTAAAATTAATCAAATTGAGATTCCCTAAATTAAAAATTCTTCAATTATCCCAAATATGGGTGGCTAAACATCTCCTTGCATTCCAAAGGCAATTCCCACTAGAACCAACAGAGGATTCCCTTGAAATGTAAAAAGCAGTTCAGAAAGGTGGGGGTGGGGGGGCAGGAAGAGTTAAATTTCTACTCCCAAGCACTCATACCTGCAGTTCAAGTGAAGTGTTTAGCTCCTCACATAACAGCAGCAGCAAACTTTTCACAAACAGCATTCATGCAATTAAGCATCACATTTAGTTTGGCCCTGAGCTGTTACTATTTTCCAGTGAGAAACACTGGGGGACATTGGTGGAAGTATCTATTTTATCTGGTCAAGCACTAATGATTTTCACATTAGACCTTCTTAAAATATTCACTGCTCTGCATCGAAGTTACTGACTCTAAACTACCTCTGGATCATAGCTATTCCCTCCACATCTGATCCGACTCTCATCTATCTCTGTTTGGAGTGTACAACACGGCAGCCCTGTTTGCAAAGGTACCATGAACTCGACAGCAGGTTCTTGAAGTGGCTGCAATAAACATTAATGATGAATGCATGGAGATGTTCGTGCAAGCTACACCACTCATTGCTTACTTGAAAGCCAGGTGCAGGCATCTAATTGCTTAATTAGATTAAAAACCTATTAATAACTTGGCAGGTGCAGTGCCAGCGTGAGGTCTGAGTTGTGAAAAGAGGTAAAGTGATGCATCATACATAACA